GGAAACGCAAAAGCAAATAGGAAGGGCTTAGCAGGTAATCTTTCGCACGTGGCACGTATATAACGAGCACTCGATTCGCAGAGGGAATTATAATTATTATACTCTACGAACGTTGCCTTCTTGAAGAATTGGTTCACGATTTTCACAAGATATGTCAATTTTTCCTTCCTTAATACCATTTCTATTTATACCATCTGAATATTTTTTGTGACATTTAGAAAATTTAAAATTTTCTAACGATATTTTTGTTTATTTATTCATTAAGTTCGTTTATTAGTACCGACTGTTCACTAAGCAATTCACCTGCTTAGTGGACCACTAGACAGTTGAAAATTTCACAAGTGATGTATTTCCGTAGCCGCTATAACCTGAAATACTAAAAACAGAAAATATATAAACATTTAAGTGGAGCTCCAATTCAACAAACATAATTTTTTTGCCGTTATTTTTATTTATAATAATTATACGTGCGCCCTTCGTGCGCGTGGCCGACTCGCACTTGCAATAGACCTTTAATGTCTAAATAATAGCGTTACCTATTTTCATCGTTCTTTTTCTATTTCAAGCAGCTGTTGTAGTTAATTAGCGAACCGCCTCATCTTTCCACCATTCTAGTCTAATGGCTAAAGCTTAAGGAGGGTTTGCGGAAGGATTTCGTTCGCACGCGGAAATGAATTATTTGTTCGAGAGGATTATGGTGCCTGTTCCCTTGGCCCTTGCAATGTTTAGAGAACGCTTATGTGAGAACCGCGCATATATGCTTACAAGCTGTGCCAGTTTCATGGAAAATTTGACACAGATAGTTTAGAGCCTGAAAAAGGCCATAGGCTATTCTTTAATTGGAAAAAACTTTAAAAAATATATATATATTTTTAAAGAAAGATATTTATTTAAGGGCTTCAATGCGAGCGAAGCAGCGGGAGAAAAGCCAGTAATTGATAATTGATAACATTTTGTTATAAAAACGAAGAATTTAATTTTCCAAAAGGATTGATAAACTCTTTGAATTGATCATTCTGATCATTAAGAAGATCTTTCCTGATCAATTCAGAGAGTTTAACAATACGTTAAAAGATTATGTGTGTAATTATATTAAATAACACTTCTTATCGTCATATTTTTAAATTTCTTTTCCGTCTGCACTTTAATCTTGGGCAAACCACTACCTTCATTTCCCAAGACACCGCGTAAGTAAACAAATGTCGAGAGCAGGGTCTTAAGTATCACTCTCGCCGCGAAATTGCTGGTTAATTGCATTAGGACAAGTTGCATTTGATGGTCCTGTTTGGAGCTCTTCATGTTTGGTCGTGTACGTCTTTTTTTGTTCATTCATGCATTCTTATTTTACTGATTTACTAAAATTCTATTTTTAAATGTAAATTCCTAACCTTACCTGATACCATAAACCTCATACCAATAAAATAATCAAAATTTGCAAACAAATGTAATCAACATGTCGCAAAAAATGCCACTAGGTAATCTAATTATTATTTATATCGTCTTTATTTTTCATTTTTAACTCCAGCTCTTTGAAGATAATGATTGTAGCAAGAATGTATTCATTCCAGAAATAATGGCTGTTCTCTTCCCTGTTTTTAAAGTGATAATTTGGCCTTTATTTTGATTAAATATAAGTCAAACGAGTAATAATTACCTAATAAAAATGATTTTTCAACGTAATTGAAAAACCTTAACTGGCATATCAGTAATTTGATTATGTACTTATATTTTTTATAGAAACACAAAAAACGCTATAGTTTTATATTTTATATATTTACAAAAACTGTTATCTACTTTTAAAAAGTTGAATTAATTATTTTTCTGGTTTTATATAAAAACAAGGGCATCGCCTCGATTTTGTATAATGATTTAAATAATTATAAAGAATAGAATATACTTTATTGCACATAAGGGAATACACAGAAGAAAAATACATATAGGCGGCCTTATTGCTAATGTAGCAATTTCTTCCAGGAAACCTTACATATACCATGCCAGTCACACAGTTTTGCGAAAATAAGGTTTTTATGTATGTGGCCCTTATAATTATTTTAAAAAGTTTAATTATTTAAAAGTAAAAAAAAAAAACAAACACTCTTCGAACTTTCAACATCCCTCCACATTTTTTGCCACCCCAATGGAATTATCGTGTCTCATGTAAGAATAGACCTGCATCGGAATTTTCGTGCGATGATTTTATGATGAATTTACAATTTCAAATATATAATCAATATTTCAATAATACTTAAACCGGACAAGTCGTTTGATCGACTTCAAATGGTATTTATGGATGAAGGACTAGAGAGAATGTAATTACTACGTTGTGAAACACCTCCAAAAGCATTTATCTACCGTTGGCATAACGACTTCATACGCGGTCTTCTCACTTTGGGGGATGACAAAGAAGTGGTCATCCTTCGACGGGTGTTACCCAAGAAAGAGTCGGCTTGTGGAGAGGGTGCACTCAACTCGATATCGAAACGATCTGTTCGACAGGAAGGCCCGGATGGTCTGGCACTTTGAGTGTGTACAGCTTGTAAATCAAGCCGCCAGACCTTGTCGAATGCCTTGCGACACCGAAGAAAACAGCCCCCGTGCTAATATGTTTCGGATGATTTAAGCCTTTCAGGATGCGTTCCGTTAGACGGTATAATTGGTCCAGACAGGAATGACTAGCTCGAAAGCCGAATTGTTCCGCCGGCAAAAGGCCGTTGGAAAATACGTGCTCTTTGAGCCTGTTTAATAATATCCGCTCGTAGAGCTTCCCCAGGCTGAGGAAGCTGATGGGACGATAACTTGAGGGCTGATTGGCTGGTTTATTCGGCTTGCGAATGCCAATAACCGTGGCTTCTTTCCAGTCATCCGGAAAGGAGCAACTGGAGAGTAAAGTATTGTAATGGTCGTCAGTAGACAGATAAGCGACCAGGGAGAGCTTTAAGAATTTTATTACTAATATTGTCTGGACCCGGGGTGGAGTTGGATTTAAAATTTTTAATAATGTCTTGTACCTCTTCGGGGGGTCACTGAATTTAAAGGATCGCCTTCCGGTGGAAGCGCAGCCCTAGTTTCGATTACGCGGTCCACCTCAGGTGGATTGTATCGGTGTTTACCCACGATGGCGTACATTGCTGCTCTAGGTTGTCCGCAAGGCCCCCTCCGACCGGGTTCTCGCCTTGACGTGGCGGAGGGGCTTAGTAGCCGTGGCTTGGTCACTCAGGGTGTGCGTAGGCAAGTGGGTGACCAAGCCACGGCAAAAAAAAAAAAAAAAAAGGTGGCAAGGAAAGGCAACGTGGGTTTTTTTAGTGGGTACGTGTAACCACACATGCTCCCCTGCAAGACCGGCGTTAGACAGTGTTAGACAAGGCGGCGAGGGATCCATAAAGGATTTTTCCCACGTAAAAAAATAATTAAAAAAGTGTCCACACGACCACAAGTTTCTTTTTTCAAGCCAAAGTTTCTAGATCGGGACCGGGCAAACCAATAACAGGTTATACATTCGTTTGTTAAGTTCTTTCCGTAAACATTGTTAACATTACGTATCGTTTGTGCCGCGTTGGTGCCATGACGGAACTCATATTCCATAATTTTATGAATTTTTAAAGTATTCATTCAAATATAATAAAAATTAAGACTTTGTAAAAAGAATTTCATGTTTCTAAAAAAAGTAAAGTAAAGTAACAGCCCATACATGTTTGGAGGCCTTTGCCCACTGCTGGGCAAAGGCCTCCTCTATACAGAGGGTATCAGGGCATAGTCCACCACACGGCCCCACAGCGGATTGGCGGACTTCACATATCTTCGAAATATATATTTTTTTGTTATTATTTCGAAAATATGCAGGTATGGGTGCCCTACCGGGTTATTAATTTAAACACGGTGTACTGGACACTCATAAACTATATTTTCCATAAATATAGACAAAGTTAGATAAAGCGAAGGCGACAGTAAAGAATACTTAAAACAGACAAAGGAAAATATTAAAGCAATTGCGCGAGCGTATAGCGGGCCGTACTGATTGGAAATCGAGCATGCATTCGCCGAGGTGTAGTGCATCCGACTGATGTTCCCTGCGTCCGCGACGCTGGTCGTCGCGCGGATCGTGTGCACGTACACTCCAACGCGCAGCTATACAGCGCACCATCGAAGTTTTCGCTTGCGCCCCGGTTCCACTCGCTCGTCAAAATTTATGGTCCCTACACAGGTTTCTTCACGATGTTTTCCTTCACCGCGGAGCACGTGATAAGTCAGCACTTAAAGTTAAATACTTCATTGGTGCCGGCACCGGGGATCGAACTCAGGTTGCTCGAGTATATTAAATTAATGGCGAGCGCCCGGACAGTGAGCTATCACGGCTTTTGTTTCTAAAACAAAAATTAATTTGAATTTAGAATTAACAGCCAGTCAAACTTACTGTACTGTACAAACAGTACTGTAGAACGGCAATTTCATAGATAAAAACCTATTATATAAAATTAAATTCACTGTATTATTCCATTTATTTGAAAATTAAGGCAAAAATCTTTGCGCTATTTAATTCATAATTTTTTTGGGTTTTGGACTTAAGCTTTAGGGATAAATATTTTCAAGAGTTAGTAACACTGACTGCACAATGCTGACCTGCAACCTGCAACACTGTTCTGTTACTGACGTTACTGTGCTGCTCATTGTCAACAAAAGAAATGACAATAAATAAATACTAGTTTTCTTATTTTCATGTAAAAAAATTGTGAAATGTATATCAAAATATCTTACATCTATTAAAGGATACATTTATTTTTGATATCGCGTTTACTATTATTTAAATTTTCTTGGTTGTTTTTTTTATATATAAATTAAAAATGTCGCCTCGAAAACAGCCCAGTAGCTTATTTAAAATCTGCGTTAAAAGTTGTATTAGTTTAATTAATAGCGCTTGTTATGTCATTGAAAAAAGTTATCCTGAAAATAAGTTTGAGGATTGCGAGAGGGAAGCATTTTCCTTAAAATGTCATCTGATGTCGATGCTACCCGCAAGGTACGTACAATTTTCATTTTACTCTATAATAATTCTATTATAACGCTATAAGTTTGCAATGATCCATGAATATTGAATTTTTAAAGCTAACTATAGTTATTGTCAAAAAAAATTATGTACCGTACTACAACTTTGTTGTTACATCCATAGCTACCCATTCCAACTAGGAAAAAACATTGGATTGGAGTTAATTTTTTTCCTAGTTTTGTTGTTGTTTACAAGTCCCACTGCTGAGCAAAGGCCTCCTCTGTACCGAGGGTATTAGGCCTTAGTCAATCTTGCAACCACAACGCAGATTGGCAGACTTTTCGAAAATATGCAGGAAATATGCTATACCCTACGCGCCTTCAGCTCAGGGAGCCCTTATGACGTTCGGGAGAGTGAGAGATACAGCATATCTAATAATTGGCCCGACCTGAAATTCTTGTTTTTCCTACGTTGAGAGCTCTCATACCAAAATATCTTGGTCTCATACTCAAACAAATAATTTAGCGGGTAGAAATTTAATTGACACTTACAAATTTCTATTTTGTAGAATGAAATGCACATGATGGAGTTTAGTCTTAGTGATCAGTCCAACATTATGTATGAATGTGATATATTGGTATGAATTGAGTTAAAATTTTATTAAATTCAATTGCTTCTTTTTACAGTATTTTGTCCCCAAAGTTAAAGAAAGCAAAATAATTTTATTACTTTACCCTGATTCAATATATAATAATTATTTTCGAAAATAAAAACACCAATTTTCTTTTTCAAGTTTAAAAATTTGTGTTTCAGGTTGTTTGATGTCCTTTGTTTAGAAAGAACATGTTGCCAGTACCGCGGCGATCCTCGTGTTCAACTCCATGTGTTAACACACCCCAACATGACAGTCTTCCGCAAATGCGACCTAGACAATGGTATACCACAGCAATTCTGGATACAAAATCTTCCAAACTTCACTCGTTTAGTTGTATTAGATCTCAAATTTGTCTGTACAGACGAAATTCTCCAAATTGTTGGTACTAACTGCCTGCTTATTGAAGAGATTAATATAGTTTCTAAAGTTGATATTTGCAAGTCGCTTATCAATGCTTCTGTTTTAATAAGGAATGTTTCAGACGCTGGTCTGTATTCAATAGCAAACCTCAAACAACTTCGCATCCTCGCAATGGATCCACCGCGTAATGAAAGAGCTAGTCGCGTAGGACGTTGTGTTTCCCAAGCTGGCATAATAATGTTGGTGAGTGAGCTTCCTTATTTAGAAGAGTTACGGATAGAGTCTTGTGATATTGGCGCCACCTTAATTACCACTGTTGTAGACATTGGTCCCTTGAGTCTGAAGAAAATTAATTGTCACTTTGCCTCAGCTGAAGGTATTAAGAAATTAATAAAAATTTGTCCTTATTTAAAGGAATTGTCTGTCACACATTTATCAGCGCATAACAAAGATGCAATTTTAGAACAACTTTCTGTTAGTGATTTAAGACTAACAAGACTAGATTTGTCTTTTTTTTCCTACTCAAAGTCAATGCAAAACCTTCTAGCTGTAAAAGGCAGTTATTTAACACATTTTTCTCTGTGGGAGATTGAACATTCATTAACTTTAGAAGCAGTTGTTTCCATTGGTGTTAACTGTCCCAATCTAATTACTCTCTGCCTTATGACACAGTCGAAATGCTTAGTTCCTCCCAAATATTTTAGGAAGCCAGAGAAAATATTCAGTCACCTCAGAAATTTGACTATAGGTAACGAAAATTATAACATAAGCAGCATTTTGACATTTTTCCTTGATTGTACTCAGAATTTACAAAAACTAGTTTTAAAATACCAGACAAAAATGAATATAGATGATACTCTATTACATTTACTACAGAAGGGTAGATTAAAGAAATTAAATTGTTTATGGTTAGATTGTACATTAGAAGTGTCAAAAGATGTAGTTAAACAAGTGATACAACACTGCGAACAACTACAATTATTCACAGTTGATTTTAATGAAGATATGAGTGATGTGCAAAGGTACATATGTGAAAACAACTTGGATATAAAACTAGGTAGTTACTAGCACAGATTTGTATTTATTTTCGTTTATTTTAAAATAAAATATTATTATTCTACATATGTTTTTAATTTCATTAAGTATCTTAACAACAAGACTATTTAACACCAACACACAGTGTTAGTTAAATTTTACATGTCAAGAAAGTTGTCTCTAAGATTTTAAAAATACCAAATCCAATGCCCAGTTATGACAAGAAAATTAAATTAATTAAAAGATTAATAATAAAAACGCCAAAATTATTTAATATACATGGGTACAAAATGTTTGTTCCTACTATCCTTTTTGTATTAACTTCACTATCATGTTTTTTTTTTACTTTAGGACAAGTACATTTAGTATGCCATGCATGTTTTCTAAATTAGTTAAATCAAACCAAATTGAAAGAAACTACCTATATTAAAACAAATGCTTTCCACATTATAGCACAAGTTACAATCAAAAACATATTTTATTTACTTATTCTATTTATATATAGAAACGCGCGACTGTTAATACTAATTATATACATTATAAATTTTATAACAACTAAATAGCAATGATTTGATTGACCCCAAACTATGTTTATAAAACATATCCTAACCTACATTGTAGGCAATTAATTTTAAGCTTAACACAATGATAAAGCTTAACAATATACAAAAATATAGTGGTGCTATTTGTTTTCACCAATATTTATAATCAACACAATAGTATAATCTAATTTACGTGTATTGGAAATCATGTTACATGCAATTTGAACTGGAATAATGTAAGATTGAAAAAAATACGCCATTTAAAACAGTATACGCCAAGGCCGTCCTAACCAGGGCCCGCCAAGGCATTTGAATTTTCCCGCCATCTATTCGGTTAGAAACGACCGCCCGAGCTTAACCGATCCGCGAATATTTTGATGATTTGCGCTACTAAAAGATTGGTGACAATTGGTCTTAAAAATTAATAAGAATTGCATACTAAAAACAGCGCATATTTTTGGAGGAAAGTGACTTTGTTGTGATATTGATACCTACTTAGTTTTTTTTTATCTCACGTACAGGCACGCGCTACGTGTCTATAACTAAAGATAGCCTTAGCATGTCATAAACAAAATACAGGGTGGATTTTCTAAAGGTGCCCAAATTCACACAAGAGGTTCAGACTCGGTAGTATAATCGTTTATTGAAATAAAAACAAACATTTTTTTTTTTCCAATAAATTGCCATTCCATTCCCTAAAAAACAGAACTTGTTGACAATGCGGAAGTCATTCATAAATGCGTCGTATACTTTTGAAACGAACTTGTGTGTGTGTTAGTTGTGAATGATCGAGCGTAAAATAAATGAGTTGCCCATAAATCACGCACTTTTTGAGATAAGTTCAAATGAATGTATTTAATTAATAACTACGAGTAAATTACGAGTAATTTTAATTGATATTTATCATTTTTTATATAACATTATTTATGTCTAGAATTTAATAAAAAAAAATGGATACACTTAGAAAAGCCTCCCTGTATTGTTTTTGCGCTGTTATTTCACTAAAGTTGGTGTAGATGTCAAGTTTTAATATTGTCGTGCGTGTCCATATGCGTTTGCCTTTGTTTACTTACAATCCATCCATTATACAGCGTGTCGTTACAACGGCAACAATAAATGAATACACGTCTAACGCTTAATAATAAAAAATATTAACGTTAAAAGAAATACATTAATTAAAAAAATATTTTTCAAAACTGTAAGTAAAAAAGAAACAAAATTCATACATCAGAGACTTTTTAATTTGTTGCCACAGCGTCGCATTACAAGCCTCTCCTTCTAACAGTATGTTTTGTCTCTTTTAAATTTATTCAACCCATGCTTTGTGACCTTTACAAATGAACTTTACGTTACAGTTTTATACTTAAGGGTGTTCTAAAATTGTTTGTTTTGGAAAATGTTATAACTCTGTAAATATGATGTTTAAAGAATGTAAATTTTTAATACAATTTCAAAAAATTATCCTCTATATGTGTGTTCATTTATTGTAGCGATTGTAAAGACACGCTGTATATAAAAATCATAAATATTTTTATACGTAAAATTTATTATTTTGAGATAACCTGCAGCAAACCCAGTAAATCAAAAATAAAGGATAACTTTCTGACGTTTCACTAAGAAAGGGAAACAAAACCTTTTTACCGAGAGAAAAGTCGTGAATTTAATTTAGCTGCATGATGAACCATGGTATTGATGGTACTTTATATTAATCACTATATATATCATATTGTAAACAAGCCACAGCCTTATAGGTCGACACATGGAAACCTGGTGTCAGCATTGATGTAGACCTATTGTTAAGAAAAGCTGGTAATCAGAACAAATCATAAGCAGCCTACAACAACAGGATGCTCTTAGCCACTAATCTAAGCATCATACACCTTGTTTGTAATGACTCGCTGCAGGCTTGTGAAATTAAAATGATGATATTATATTCTAAATTTTCATACACGCTTAACATTATGTAGATCACAGTTCTAAATTCAATCCAGTAGTAGGGGAGCCCATGTGGATATTTTAAAATACAATGAAGCTCGACGTTATTATAATATAAGGGGAGATAGGTACTTCGCCCTGGTAAATACTTCCACCATTTATGGCGAACAGCATAGACATCTGATCGGAATAGTAAAAAATGGTTGGTCGTTAGAAATAATCGACGCTTCAAGTTAAGGAATCTAATATAAACGTGTTAAAAAATGGGTCATATCGACATTCTCGGGAGCGATTGATTTACTTTTATTTTCAAGGAAATAATTGAATATGACGAGCTCCATATTTTTTCTATCTTCTAACCTGCCATGCTGCCACCCCTGTACATATTTCCGTTATTAGATACATATATGGGGGATATGTGCACTATCAATATCTTTGATATTTCTATGTGACAATTTCTTTATATGATTTTTGAAATTCTGTAGATGCTTACATGATAAACTTTACCCACTATATTGATATATATATTTGACCCATTATAAACTTTTTTCTTCCTCTCACACATCTCAACGCTGCTCAAGAAAATCCCCATTCAGCATCATGGCGGCCCCTACTACAAGAGATAGCCAAAATATTCTGAAGTTTTCTACCACCTACATATAAAGAAGAGAGGCTAAGTAAAGTTATACTTATACCTCTTGTACCCTTTCCCGTGTCAAATAATAAGGGGGTCAATCAAATCGGTTGTATGCTATGGTTCCTTCGTTTCGGTTACTGTTTCCTTCTCATTATCTTTCTCATCCTCATAGAATTCGTTCTTGGGCTCAACCATCTTATCCGCTTCTTCTTGACTCACTCGGATATCTGGATCTGGTTCATCTTTTATTTTATACTCATCTGGAAAGAAGTCACCTAAAAAAAACAGTATTAATTTCAATAAATTATAGTAAACTTTCTTAACTATTGATGAGCTCTTCTCCTATATTAAATGTATATAAAATAAAGGAGATAACTATCATATTTATTATTTATACATCATACTTGTGTGGACACTTTGGCTGCCTCTCATTCTGGCTGCGTCGGTTAGGGCCAGGGTGGTATCAGAGGCAGTTATATTTGTGCTTAAGTACGTGGGGTCCCCACACATCGAAATTATTGAAAGGCTTTTGCCCTAGACTTCAAAAGATAAGCATAACTATTCAGTGAGGATATGCAGGTAGGATAGGATTCCTTGCCTTGTAGAGAAACTGTATAAAGATGACCTGTAGAATGTATAAAGAACTGTTATAAAGAAAGTATAAAGAACTGAGGAAATATCACGGCCGCACAGAAGACCGGCGTGAATTGGAAGCATTATAATTACGCGTTTTGATAAGTGGGGTAACTGTGGGCAGAGTTTTTTAAAGGTTGTCAACGCATCCGAAACAACAACGTCTATGTAAACATAACTGCCTGCTTTTGCGGCTGTTATGTTTCTACAGAGGTTTTGTCCTACAAATGAATCCTTTTGTAAGTTTTCGAATCAGATCACTTTTTTAAAATTTTATTTGTTAATAGTCTTATTTTGAAAACAAATTATTAGTAGAGACCTCATACAAAAAACAATATTGTAAATAAAAAACAAAGGAAATTTTACAATACCAGGTATGTGTGACATCTGCACTGCAGGCGAGTGCTGGCACATCTTTAGATTGTCATACACATGCTTTGTAATAGCTTCTAAGTACTGCTTGCTGTTTGCATTTGTTGTGCTTTCAGGCCTGAAATTATTCAAACATATACCTGATAAATGAGAAAACCACTATCATGAAAGCACAAGTATGTACATAATTAAACTGTATATTCCTTAAAACAAAAAAACTCCTATTCTGAAATATTCCAATGTTACTATTATGTATTTGTTTGATCACTTATTACAAAAAACAGTAAACTATGGCTAAACTAATCTAACGTAGTCTTAAATCACAATTTTATCAATTACCAATAAAGAATAAAAATCCATTACCTGCTGATCTCAGGATGCAATTGGAAATCTGGTGCAAAGAATTCCAGGTACTCAGTATATGGAAGTTCATTTGAAATATTCTCATCAACTAGTAATGATGTTTCATATGTCCAACATCTGGCAACATTTCTCAATGTATAGCTGAAAAGTGCGTAAAATAAGTATTAATATGTGTTTTACTGCTGGGAATGCTTTTGCTGTTTTACAGCAGAGTTGTAGCCCTGGTGCACACAACACAAATTGGGAATTTAATTTCAATTAAGTAAGAACACTAAATTAAAAGACTAGTGTAACTAGAATTATCATCTGAGTTACCTTTACTCGCATAATTTTCGGAAATAAAGTCATGTAATAATTGCGATATAAAAGTTGTTATAGTTAATGCTAATGAGAATTTATTATTTCAAGTAAAAAATAAATAAATCAGGCATTTAAATTATTTATGCAAAATTTATGTATATCAGAAGTGCATTTGCTAAAAACTTTTCTCCCAAAACATGATGTACTTACCCTCCACCTCCTACAACTAATGTGGGTACATTAAGATTCTTAACAAACTTCACACATTCTCCATGTCCTCGTGTAGATAGAGAGAAACAGCCGAGTCGATCACCCGCAAGAGAGTCGGCGCCGCATTGTAGTACTATTGCTGTGGGTCTGTAGAACTCCATGACATTAGATATTACCGGTTTAAATACCTAAAAATAAAAAGAAAATATTAAGTTGAACACAATTAAGTTGTAAGATATATGTTCCAACTGATTTTATATGTACCAATAATGTTTAATGGTAATTTAATGGCTGTCTTTGGAAGGGAAAAATTAAATCCCGGCATACTTCATCTTTAAAACATCTAAACTATATTCACAAAAACTTGGAAGTTTTAAAAATAAATTAGTTATTAGTCATGAGAGATAAGAAAAACCAATGACTGCTATTTTCACCTCCAAGTTATTTATTGATGAATCATTTGTAAAAAAAAAGTAAAGGAAGAATGTTTAATGGACAATCCATGACATATTGAAGAGATATGATAATGCTTTGTCTTGTAAATAATATCCTTATTAATGAATCCAAGACAATGTAAAATATGTTTATAAAATACCTACACTTTTTAAGACATGATTATATTGTATAAGACTACTTGGTTATATTTTAAGTATTTGAATAATTAAATTTCAATGTGTTTTGATCCCTCCCATAAACAATTAAGACAATTATTTTGTAAAATACCGGCCTTGTGCGAGTCGGACTGGCGCACGAAGGGTTCCATACCATTATCTATAAAAGCGGAAAAAAAATCATGTCTGTTGTATGGGAGCCCCACGTAAATATTTTTTATTTTGCTTTTTAGTATTTTTGTGGCAAAAGATATAGATCATTTGTGAAAATTTCAACTGTCTAAGTATCACGGTTCATGAGATACAGCTTGGTGACAGATAGACAACAGTCTTAATAATAGGGTCCTGTCCTGTCCTTTGAGTATGGAACCCTAAAAATGCTAAATATTTTTGACGTACATATTTTATTGAGTATTAAATTTTTATGTGCTTGGCTTTATTTGTAGAAAAAATCTTATGAGAAAAACAGATACAAAATAATTTACACCAATAACAGAAATATATTTTCACTTTAGGATATAGGTATTTATATATATAAAGTAGCAAATGTAGACACTACTTTCATTTGAAATCTTTATGTTGACTGAATGATTCTCTTGCCTACAGTCCATAGACAATTAATGGTTGATCAGAAACAAAAATAGTGGAACAAGAATTTTCGGGTAGGGCCATGCATAAGATAAACGGCTTCAGAGCAGTTCACGGCCGTGGCTGGTTTTTGAAGCCAATGAGAATGCAGATGTAGCTGTGCTTATAAGCTATAACATAATATTTTGTTTTGCTATCATTATGTCTCTATGAATTGTGGTAATTTGGTATTTTACCATGGTCTCACAAAGAACTATTCTGTTAAATAAAGTTAACTTAACTACATATTATAGTGTAAAACATACCTGTACATAACTTAAGTCATCTATACCCTCTTTCAATGGTACATTAACAGAGAAATATCTACCGCTTTCTGCACCAATTTCATACATGTCTCCAGTACCAGGGAAGAAATAATTTCCATACTTATGAAAGCTTACAGTCATAACTCTGTCAGTTAAATAGAATGCCTCTTGTACACCGTCCCCATGATGAACATCAATATCGATATATAATACGCGAGCATGACATTTAAGCAATTCTAATATTGCTATAACTATATCATTAACATAACAAAATCCTGAAAGTAAAAAAAAAACTGTTAAGATAATAAAATTACTTTAACTAACGTAGTGCAAAAGATAAAAACTAAGAAGTGCCATTGTGATAAATGTCTTATACATAAAATAATAAAACAAACATTATTAATTTGAACTGAAGTTGTTTGTTCAAATACTGATTCCTTATTATAATATTATAAAATATGATATCTTGTGATTGTTTGTACAATTTAACTTATATAAAAGAAATTGAAAATGGAAACTTTCAATGAAGGCAAGAATGACAGTTAAATTACTTTTTTTAGGTGAGGAGGTAGTAAGTGAGCTGATGGTCGCCATGGACATTTGCAACACCCATAGGGTTGCGGACACATTGCCACCTTTTAATAAAAAACAGTGTGTCACAGAACAATTATGTATATAATTACTTACCTGAAGGTTCAAATTTCTTTGCATGATGTAATCCACCAGACCAATTTATAGCTATATCACAAATATTATTATTGAGCTTCATTGCACCTTCTAATGAGGCTCCAGTATACATAGAACAAAAATCAAAAAGGCCCTCAAAGACGGGACAGTCATCCCCAACATTATAATGCAACAAATCTTTTGAATAACCTGAAATGAATATATTATGGTTATTAACACTTGCTATTTTCATTATCTGCATAAAACATTACTATTATTTTTACACATGAATTTCAAAATGTTAATACTTTTGGGCAAAATTTGGCAGTATGAGGGGTAAATAATTTACAGGTATAAAGTATATCATCATCATCATCATCATTTCAGCCTGTCCGAGTCCACTGCTGAACATAGGCCTCCCCCATAGACTGCCATGAAGTACGATCTTGAGCCACCTGCATCCATCGACTTCCCAAAGTAAAGTATATATGAATTAACTTACTTCGACTTTATAAAGTATAAATGAATGTATAAAATAAAAAGACACCTACAGAACTTGATTCAAAATTTTTAATCAAAAACCATTTCATAGTCACCAATGACAGCAAAAGGAAATAAAATTTTTATAGTTACGTCCATTTTTGCTAAAACGTTCCAAATGCTCCCACATTTTTTGCAACTGCTATGGAAGTAGATCAAAATCTAAATAATAAGATATCACTTTTGAACGATAAAAATTCCTCAATCCTCTTGATTTCTAAATTTAATTTTTTTTTTTTATGTGAAAAGTTGCCAAACGAGCAGACGGTTCACCTGATGGTAAGTGAATACCGCCGCCCATGGACATCTGCTACACCCGAGGGTTACAGATGTGTTGACAACTTTTGAAAATTGGGCTCCGGCTACCACACTCACCAGACGAAACGCGAAAGTATTTGTCATACTTCCACTTTACGCTGGTCTTCTGTGAGGTCGTGGTACTTACCCGGACGGGCCTGCCCATTCATGCAACAGCCGAGGCTGCTGCGTGGCCCTACCACCGTAAAACGTTCTAAATTTCATTTCAACAATAGAGTAATAACTAACAAAATCATTAAAAAATACCAAAACTCATTAATCAGTAGTTATATCACATACACCACATCTCATTACTTATATGGTGCTTATGTATGATACAAACAAATAATAATTATGTATGTGATCATAAAATGCTGAACAATTGGAAGATAAGAGAAATATACATACTTTGAATATTTTGTGGTGTAACATTTTGGAGAAACTCTATATAATCTTCACTATGAAAACGGCACATATCATGCGCGTTAGCCCGATATGGTTTGTATATCTGCATCTTCTTATGTAGACCATAATTTAACACTAAACTATGTGTAACAGCAAGCCTATGAGGTTTCATTGGGTGTCCAGGTCCATAATGGAAATTTCCGACATCTGCATTGTAAAAATATGCCACTCGTGGTAAACTCATAATGAAAAGTCAAAGACGTATTCTTTTAAAATTAAAATAACAAGGAGAATCAAAGCAATAACTATTAAACGCTTGGTTAACTGAATGTCACCTAACATTATTTGGAGGTAACTATCATGATTTTCAACTTTTCTTATGAAATAATTATAATACAAGGGAATGTTGTATTCAAAAATAAATATATTAAGAAGAATTTAAAAAAAAACTATTGTTTTCTGATAGTTTATGATGGACCTAGAAGCAAATAAAGCGAATGTAATTCTGATTATGTATGACAGTGACAAGCTGACAAGTGACATATTATGTCTCTGCTGACTGACGCTGACACATCAATCCATTTTAGGCAAAGCTATTATGATTTTAATATACATTTCAGAGTAAAGACATTTATTTATCACAAAAGAACATTACATTACTTCAATTAAAATGTGTTTATCCAGAAGAAAAAACAGATATATAATGTATGCAGCAGTTCAATACGGGTGGCTAACCAGAGTTTTTAAAGTTACTAAATAACTTATATATAAGAGGTGTTTCTTGGACAATGCAATGGTTTAACATTATTTCAATGATCTTCTAATAAAGATGACGCATATTAATAATAATTTATATGAATGTGACCGTATGATACAGAAAAGATAGCCGTCTATATAATTGCACTGTAATTACACCAATTGGCGTAATTTGAAGACCTCGATTTCGATACGCTATTCATGTCTACCTCGTATTTGTACATAATATCAAGCAATTAGTGCCATAGTTGCGAGCCCTCAAATCGAATTGTTTTTTACATAACTCGTTTCTATGTGTCGGTTACTTGAGGTTGTATCTATTGTAATCTCGCAGGAAAAATTACAAGTGACTGCATTGATTTTCAAAATATTTTTACTCTCGAAAATATACAAAAACTATTATTTAATGAAGATTAAAGCATTTACGTAAATACAAAATAAATTTAATTAGGCCAAATGCAATTTGTATAGAGATTATTAGGGTTCTGTACCCTAAATCAGCGTTATAAATTCCACGCTTGGATGCGCCACCAAAGGGCGGTTAAAGAGTGCAATCAGGATCTAAGGGGGTTAGATAGGAAGGAACACTCTGATAGACCTTTCCGTAACACACTACCTCTACGAGTTGGCGAGAAATCTTATAACAGAGAACGCGTCGCCTCTAAGATAGATGGATACGACTGAGGCCTAAAACGTTAACTCATGCATGTCTCACCGGGCCTAGTGCGGCAAGCTTGCATAATAACATGAGACCTGAGTTTGGTGACGTCACAGTGCGTGCTTGTACAGTTTACAACATAAGTTTACAACGTGTCGCGTCTTACATTCGTCGTGATGAAATCCGAGACTATTCAGAATTTCGGATAAATTTTTGTCGCTCGCTGTACCAAAAATCGTGAACGCGGGGAGGTGCGATATGTAGCAGTCAGGGCTTTGCAATCCGTGAGAATGTCAGGTGCTTGTGCACGCATATTAGTAAATATATTATACATAGCTCAGCACACTCAACGAAGAGTACAAAGTACCCCGCTCACACCCTCCATACTATACTACATTAGACTTAGCAGTCCATTATCAATGGCGGTCTGCGTCAATGTTGGAAATTCTATCTGACTGAGGGGCCCTTGGATCATGCCTTGTTAGTCGAATTGTCCATCTTTCTTAACATGGGCCGCCGGAAGTGTAGTGGTTGGATGGCGACATCGTGTCGTCATTGTGCACCAGCTAGGTACGTTGTTCTCCGTATCATCTGCCGCGGTGCGGATCTCAGACCTCTTCCGACAAAGCTGTAAAAGCTACCCGTACGGTACAGCAAATTTCTATACAAAAAAGATTTAATTACTATTTGTAACCTAATTACATTTATGTTAAAAGAAAAAAAAATATGTAAAAAATAACAAAAGATTTTTTTTGTTATCTGTAGATTGTATGTATATGTTATCGCTTATCAGTTTGCCGGTTGCCCATAGATAAGACATAATATATAATATACTGGTTTTTGCCTTTGCTTTGACCGGTCTCTCAACTTTTCCGTACTATACTTTTTTCCTTTACTTATTATTACTTATTTTTAAGCTTAACTAATTGTCTTCAAAGGTAAGTCATTATACTATTCCAGATGTTGCTTAAGAATAAGTTATAAGATACATTCTCTATTGTTAATAATGTAACTTGTTCTACAATGGGGTTATACCTGGTTAAATTATAATGTCGAATACATACATTTCCAATTTCATTTTAACAATTACGTAATAACATTAAACCTAATTAATTTACCTTACTTAATTTAATAGTAACCACTTAACCTTTAATTTAATGATAAAATAATAAAATTAACTAACTACCCGTAAGATACGGGTGATAATATTATAAAACCAAATGAAATACAGTTGGGTTCTTTCTAATTTGTGTTAATGTTAATCTTTTATGTTCATCAAGTTTTAGTTCTGGTTATAAAAAAAAATGTTTTTACAATATTTTAAAAAGGTGTCAAAAGTAAAATAATTAAATATCAATAGTTAAATTGCTCATTTCACTATTAGTTCTCCTTAGAAATCGTGTTCTTTGAAGAGATTATTATTTTAAATGAAGAGGGTCAGAACAAAAACTGATATATCACATATAAGTACAGTTTTTCGGGAAATTAAAAAATAATACATGTCTATGGATTTTCAATTAATAAAATAATAGAGATGAACTATTTACTTGTTAAGAGGTCTTGTATAAAATTGTTGTTATATCCAAATCACAGATTCATGTGTGCAGTATGTGATGAGAAATTTGCAAAACAAAATGGATTTATCGTTTTTTGATCTGACTGACTGATATCATATTTTTTAGATGTATTTGTTTTACATTTTGCATTCCTTCTATTTTTTTATAAAATGTTTCTACATGTTTGACATTCTTTAAACTCCAATCTTGACTCAGTAATAAAACTTCTCCCCATATCTTATAAAACCTTGGATATAGATTTTTCAGTTTTCAACCAACGAAATGCATGGCCCATGAAAATTTCTAAGATATTCTCTATGTTCCAATCATGAAACAATTTGATTGATTTATCAGTTTTTGTTTAGATTAGTGTGTTTTGAGAAAGTTTTTGAAGACGATTTCGTCACATATAAATAGATTTGATACAAGATGGCTTTAGATATGTTCATAAACTACTCATTGCCATACCTAGCATAAAAACTTAAAATGTGATTTATCAGTTTTTGTTCCGACACTCCATAATGTCAAATCATATCAAAATTTGAAATATTTATTCACATACTTAATTGATAAAAAATTGTGATTGTATTTTCATTACCAAGAATAACATTGCATTTTAGTTCACACAGTAAATATATCAGTGCCATTATATTTTTATACTTATCAATCTCAGAATTGATTAGTAATTGAATTATTATGTGATTTCTAAGAGGCACCACAATCTTAACTCAGGATACTTGACCAATAAATTTAAAAAAGTCGACACGGGGCTATCACAACTTGATGATGAAATTTAACCAACTTAACTTGATTCTATCCATTTAATTTTATTTTTAGTCTATACTTAAGATGAAACTTAAAATGTTTAGGTAAATTTTTTCACCACTGTAAGGATTCGAACCAGCATCTTCCCGATTACGCATCCAGACCCTTTAGCCACCAAGCTGAGCTATTGATATCCTCGCCATGTGAAAATCCCAATGTCTTATCTACATTATTTTATTACATTTTTATTATTGCTTGGCAACATCTAATGTGCTTTACAACAAAAACAATTTCTCAAATGACTGATTAGAACTCTTTAGTTGTATATTCTAATTGTCGCATTTTGTATATTTATATTTCGAATTTCTTACAATGAGAAATATAACAGATTACATACTAGAAGTATGAAATTACATAGCGCTTAAACACTTCTTTATAAACAAGGCACTCTTGATCATCTACGGAAGTTTCACATATACACCAGTATGGTATGTCCTGCAATGTTAGCAGATCTCAGGTTTTATTGTACCCATATAGGAAATTAAAAACTTTCTTATTGTCTATTTAAACCTCAAAGCAAGTATTAATAAAATTTAAGGTGATCTTGGACTAGGAATTTGCTATACAAATATAAAAATAAGTATATATAATATTTGTTTAAACAAATATATAGGCTAGATGAGTGTGAAAACTCACCTTCGGGACTTACTTTATTTATCTATAGCAATATCTAATTATAAATTTTAGTGCTAGTCTCTGCACTTAAGGTTAAACATAAAATTGTACATTTTCTCCATGTATTTTATCATCATTGCTTACTATAGAAACTCATATACATATGTATTTAGATGGTATTGGTATAAATATTTTTACAAAATTATGAATATTCATTACTTCATATAAGATAAAGCTAAAAAATTATAAACTTGTGTTCAGTGTTGAGTTAATTTACATAATTAAACTAAAGTTTCGTGTCTAAATAATAATATATTTAACTGCATACAATTTGAGCGTGGAGTAGTTTATAATTTAATAATATAAATGGGCGCGCGTAAACAGATTAAAATTAAAAATTATAAAAAAATTAAAATTATTTGAAATGACATAATAACCAAGAACTTCTTACTCTCATCTATCGTATAAAAATATAATATATTTTAAAGACATTTTCGATTAACCAGTTTATACTGGATTTTTAGTATGTATTTGTTATAAGCAGTACCTATATCAACGTCTTTTTCATTATCAAGTGACAGTGAAGCAGACACCTTTGTGTTTTCTTATTGCTTTAAATTGGGCTGCATTCAGCTAGAACAAAAATGCAATCACGGTCTCATATTTAGCACCGTGTTTTGTCTTTATTGAATAGTTTACATGAAATCTGAAACAGCTCAACCGATTGACAGTATTTAAGAAGATGGCGCTACTAACTAACCGCATTTCTGTTCCAAACATTTACTTGAAAGGACGTGTGTGCGTTTGCCAACAGTGTCCTGTTTCTGTTCGTTAAGAAATGGGGCGCTTTTTGAGATGTGTAATTGTTTTGTTGTTAGCGGACAGCCCTATGGTCAATTTTAGGGTGCTTGCAAGAGGCATGGCGTCCGTCGCGAAATCGTTTGCCGATCACGCTGTGGTGCCTGATGTTGTTCCAGTCGCCCCCTCAGCCCTGCTCAAGGTTAGTTTGCGTTGTTTTTTTTTTTTTTTTTTCCAATTAGGAAATATTAGATTTTTTGTTCAATGTAAACCTGATTCAATTCTCGCCGAGATCTGCTAATTTTTCTAGAGATCCTCAATGACACTTAACAATAGTGCCTAGTTTGTTAACGCCGTTAAAACATAAATATTTTGTACAAATACGCTATAATTTTAGAAAAAAAAAACATTTGACGTCAAATGTTTTTTCTTTAAATTACGGTTACATAAAATCGAATGCGATCAATATTATCTTTTTCTGTAATAATATCTTTGTTATCGTGGTAGGCCTGTATCAATAATGGTATCAAGCATCTGCTTTCTGTCTTTATCTCAGTACAATGGGCGAAAAATAAATGTTATAACATCACCGATTTTCAATAACTAGCTATAATAAGATTAAAAACAATATATAATATAATATATACAGTATTATACAAATTTATAAAGTAGCTACGTTTTTTGATCCGCAGAAAGTTGCTTTGGTGGAATAACTTCCAAGTCAAAGTTAATCAATATTCAACCTCAAGTTCAACCAAGTCTATGGTTATTACGTTCTAAAACTAAGGATTCGCCCTTGATGATTTATTTCATTTGACCATTTTCGAGCATTTATGAAGTAGTCTGTCGATGGGCGATGCGTTTGAAGCGTCGAGAATAATAAAATGAACTAAAATCAAAACAGTTTTATTTAACAATATGCAGTATTGGTATAAATCCATCCATACCTTGTTCACAAATCTAGACATTGTTCGGTGCCGCATAATAATCGGTTATTGTGTTATACGCCATTGTCTCTTCTACAAAAAGTACATGTATGTTCTTGGGGCAAACTACGCATGTATAATGGGATCCCACAGTCGATATTAAGTCTGCCATTTGATCAATTTAAACGCAAAATTAAAAGTAATCTTATGGGTAAGTATGTATTTTATAGCATATCGGAGTATCTCGACGACGCCAATGTGTAGATTTAATACTGTTGATACTCACGCAGGGTAAAATAAGACTATTAAACCATACTTTATATTAAAAAAACGTTATATTGTAAACTGATCTTTTTAAAAAAGCAGCTGTTGAGTTTTTTGGCGGTCTCTTTACAACAGAAACTGCTTTCCGAAGCGGTAGTAATTACGAATTTATGTAAAATTCGACGTTTCCTAAGAACGTAAAAGCGTCTTTTGAAATAAAGATATTTTGAATTTGAATGTTCTGGCATGGAGTTTGGTAAGCTACGTATCAGAATAGCGGTACACGTCTCTTGTCTTTACCATGCAGATATCCGCCTGTTGTCATTGGTGGATATACCGAGAAAGTCGGCAAACCGCATGGACCCACACGATCTAGTACAGAATGGCACTTTCACACTGATGCGATAATCCGGTTGTGTGGTCGTTTGACGTCGCCGAATAATCGACGACGCAACGATAGTCGGATTAGGACATGATTTGGAGTGGGGGGCACTGAATAAAAGACGAAAATCGATAGTTAACAAGTGTTTTTTTTAAACATTGCCCTTACTTTAGGATAACATTATCCTGTGTTGTAAGGACGTTTTACAAACATAAATTTCACGCGGACAAATACCCAGTGTTTGATTCTGCATATCACCGTATACTTTGACAATACGACCGATAATTATTAATTAGTTACAGCGTTAGGGTAATTTTACCATACTTTGATTTGCAGTGAGAATGCGCTGCCTTGTCCGAAATTCGTTTCGGACAAGGCCATTTCTGAGTCACATTATGGTCAATTATAGCCATAACAGCGTTTAGGCTTTAACTAGTGAAATTATGCGCTTCTTTTCATTATATTGCTAAATTTCTTCGCGAAAAACGTTTCGAGCCAAAAAATCTTACGCCCCATTTGGAGTTTTCCCTGATCGAACGTACCGTCCTCCGCAACATCATTTTATAAAAAATATTGGCTTGTTTGTAAATAATTACAATATTTTTTTATGAAGTGATGTGATATGACCAGCCTGTTTGAGTCTACTGCTGAACATTTTTTCGTATTTCACATTGTGTGCCTAAAATAAAAAAATTATCATACATACCGTTAATTAAGCTTTGACATTTTTCGGTAATTAGAATACGTAGATCGTTCGTATAAGTATTATATATATCGTGTATAATGGAGGCTTTGTGAACATGACATTATAAATTTTCACAGATAATATGCAAAACGAGATTTTTTTTACTCAGGCTTTGGAATGCCTTAAAAGTTGTCTACGTCGTAATCGCCGCGTTATGGGACGGAGGCTCAAATGATAGTCTTAGCATAGTTGCTTCGCATAATTAAGGCATCCATGGAATTGTTGTTAATATTCGTAAAATCGCGTTAGAAGCTAAATTATATGCGGACATAATAATTTCAGTTATTATGTGCCCGCTAAATGAGTAAGTTGTACAGGGGACCGATGTATTAGCTGTCGAAATGAAGTGTCATCACGAATAATTGGCAGTTGATTTGTTAGCTCATTTGCCGGTACATTGTCATTACAGTAGATAATAAACGGACACTCAATGTCCAGAGTCTTGTCACCTGAGTGTTATGAATGTAATAAGAGGCCGTTAGAATGCGTTTTAACTTGTTACTACCACATGCACCGGTGGTAGCTTATTAGATAATGTGCAGAGATGTTTCACGATCATAACGAGGTTGAAGTGGGGAGATTTAAAGATAAGGACATATCAACTTCCAAGTATGATCGTCGTCACAGCAGATGAACGGCTGTGAGGTTTTTGTAATTTAACAATTTGATGTTTTTTCCCACTGTCGTAGAAATATTGTACTGTTTTTTGTTATGAAAAGTTGTCAAGCGAACGGGCGTTATAACTGATAAAATTGTTAAAACTCGTGAGTCATTTACAATATAATTAAACAACTGAACTTGCACTCGCACAGTGCGAGATGGGGAGTCATCCCTGTCGCCCTGCCGGGTCCCGTTTTACCCTTTGGATACGGAACCCTTAAAGACATTGAAAAAACCCTGAGCAATTCGAACTCATCCAATTCCTCAAGGACCCCCGATAGGTCGGAAACTAGTCGGTACATAGCAGGGCGCGGCCTTGTATGCACGAATATGCACTAATGCACGAATGGGAAGACTTGTCCGGGAATGTACCAGGGCCTCACAAAAGACCAGCATGAAGTCGAAGTATAATACTTTCACGTTTCGATTGGTGAGTAAGTTGTCCGCGGCCTACTTATTTTAAAGGTTGTCAACGCATCTTTAAGCCCTCAATTGTTGTAGAATGCCATGGGCGGTGGTGATCACTCAATATCAGGTGAACCGCCCACTCGCGTGACAACTTTTCACATTAAAAAAAACCGATTGAATGTGAGTTCAGTATTGTCCTACGCTTGCATGTCTTCCTCCACCTTCTCCAAATATACATAGGAACTTCAGGTGGTAAGAAATCAATTCAAACGCATTGCAACACTTGCAAGATGGTATCAAAGAGACTTCGGCCCACACAGCCTGCAATCGCTACGTTACGCAGTGGACTTGAACGATTTTCCCAGAGTCGAAAATCATCGCAATCCTATGACGGTGAAATCTTGTTGTTATTAACTGGACCCTAACGTCCTCATCGACTCAGAGAGGGGACGAAATTATTCCATACCATTATATGGTCAGACGCATAGCGTAAAGCTACGAAACAATGTAGAGATCTCACCGCGAAAGACCACTTACAAGATGTACACGCGCGTTCCGGAACGATTGTCATCGCTTCCGCCGTTTTTGGCCGCCTCCTCGTCGGTTCAGAATCGACAACCCATCATTTCTTGTTAATGCACACATGTCAGGGTCTGTCAAGCTCGTGGAAGCTTAGAACCGAGTGCTAAATGCAACAGCGTATGCTACAATAAAGGGCATATAATTACCACTTTTATTTGTTTTTTCAAAAAACATTGTCAACACCCATAACATTTGAGGATTGCCCTCTATTTCTCTGGGATGGCATCATGCCGGGTTTCCTTATCATGGTACTCTTGGGATATTTCCTTCTCAACAAAAAAAATCATCAATAGCGGTTCATAAATGACGAAGTTATATAAGAACAAACATAAAAAAAAATAAAAATATATACGGTCGAATTGAGAAACCTCCTTCTTTTTTAAAGTCGGTTAACATGACGGTTGGTCACATTTCAGGTAAAGTACCCGAGTGGTGTGGAAGTTAACGAAGGCAATGAGCTGACCCCGACACAGGTCAAGGACCAGCCCACCGTGGAGTGGGATGCGGAGCCTAATGCCTTCTACACCGTCGCCATGACTGGTAAGAACGTAATAGTATTATTGGAATGAATTACCTTAAACAAAATTTGCAGAAAAAGTACTAAAAGATTGTGCTTGTGAAAGCTTGTGTTGTGATTGTGAAAGCGGACTGACAGACTTTGTCCTGTACACACGAATTAAATCCGACAACAAGTTATAAACAAAAAAAGTATGTGCGTCCTTTACGCGCGATTGAAGTAAAACTTCTTTGGTGTTGACGGCATATATCACTGAAATGATTAAATATTTAGTAACGTCATAAGTATGTCATATTTTAAAAATGTGACATACTTATGACGTTACTTCCGTAAGAAAAAGCGTTACTTCCGTTAGAAAAAATCTGAGCTACTCCCTAGTCGCGCCTAAAGAAGTTTTACTTCAAAAAACATTGTAGCAAACATATGTATAATTCTCCTGTGTGTGTGTATATCACTGAACTCCTAAACGGCCGATTTATTATGAAATTTTTTGTGTGTCTTCTGGTCGATTCGAGAATGGTTCAGATTCACAATTCGGTCAACTACAATTTTCTTTATTCCTTAGTTGTCGAATTTAAATCGTGTGTGGGCATCGTCTGTCGGGTCCGCTTGTAAATATATAAATAAACTAGCGACCCGCCCCGGCTTCGCGCGGGTGCAATGTACCTTCCTCTTGAATCACTCTATCTAGTAAAAAAAACCGCACCAAGATCCGTTGCGTAGTTTTAAAGATCTAAGCATACATAGGGACAGACAGACAGCGGGACGACTTTGTCTCATACTATGTACCACCACGCCACCTCCCAGACCCGGACGCGCCGTCGCGCAAAGAGCCCACCTTCCGCGAGTGGCACCACTGGCTGGTTGGCAACGTGCCAGGGGCCAACGTGGGCGGCGGCGAGGTTCTCTCCGCTTACGTTGGCTCCGGGCCCCCGCCCTCCACCGGCCTCCACCGCTACGTGTTCCTCGTCTACAAGCAGCCGGGCAAGATCGCCTTCGACGAGAAGCGCCTGCCCAACACGTGAGTGTCGCCGCACTTAGCAGCCCGTGACACCCCTACAAGCAACATTGTAGGGATGTCGAAAGAATATCGATATTTGCGATTTCATATATCGACGTTTTTGATTTTATGTATCGATATTTACAGCCTTGTTGCCAAGCGGGCAGGCAGTTCATCTGATGTTAAGTGATTACCGCCGCCCATGGATTTATATAATATCTCAGACACTATCGCAGAATAACAGATGCGTCGACAATATGCGTTGCCAGCTTTAAAATCAATAAGCCCTGGTCACAACACTCACCAGATAAAAAGCGAAACGACGAGCGTGAAGTAGAAGTATTATACGGATAAATATAATACTTTACTACACACTCGTCGTTTGTGAGGCTGTTCCACTACGCCGGAAGCCACAAGTGCAACAGTGGCAGCTGTCACGTGGCCATACCACATATAATAATTAATTTCTAACGTGCAAATATCGCAAGTGTCATATTTTGGCATCTACTGAGTTGGCCAGATAGCGAAATATACTATCTAGCTCTGTATCTATAAAATAAGATGGCATGTAAGAATTAGGAGGTTATATATTTTACTGGCTCCATGGCCAAGTTGCCAACGTATTATTCCACGTCGGGGGTTGATCGTTTCGCACATAGGACAACTATGCGCGCGTCACAGATAATTGTCTCCGGTCTGGGTGCTTATCCATGTTAAATTTATGATTTTTAAACCTCCTTACAACACAGGTCAATGCTATATTACAGTAAGGGCTACGGAATAAAGAAAACAAGTGGAAGTGCCATGTGGGCGTAACTCGACGACCACAGTTAAGCGAAAGTGTCACTAACGCAAATCAGAGCAATACGAGTTCTGACGCGTTTTGGAGACGCTTTGAACACGCTGTCACACATATTCTCCTATAAAAGAAATCCTTAATCCAAATAATAATAAAAAATCATAAATCCTATTACAGGGTGACTTTTCTAAGTGTATCCATTTTTTTTTATTAAATTCTAGACATACATAATGTTATATAAAAATGATAAATACTTAAAATCATTTCAACACTTAAACACATGCACTCAAAAATTGCGTGATTTATATGCAACTCATATATTTTACGCGCGATCATTCAAAACAAACACGCACACAAGTTCGTGCACAGTAAAATTTAGGTATTTATGAATGACTACCGCATTGTCAAGACGTTCTGTTTTTAGGGAATAGAATGGCATTTTTTTTTTGGAAGAAAAAAACTTTGTTTTTTATTTCAATAAACGATTACACTACCGAGTCTGAACATTCTGTGTAAATTTGGGCACTTCTCAAAAGATCTCCCTGTATAATAAAATAAAAAAATATGAATAAAAAAATGTCTCAAAAAGAAGGGTACACATCACAAGCTAGTGCTATTTTAGATTTTTTTTAAACAAAATAAAACAATTTTACGAAAAATAGAAACTTTTAATTTGAACTACACTCAAGTAAAACTAGGCAACGTAATGTTAAACTTGAAACGAACTACTCAAATACTGATTTCTAGAATGTTCTTTACTATTCAGTTTGAGAAGTGACCATTAGCTGTACTGATAGTATCGACATCGAACTTTGAATTGATGATGATAAGTAAACGTGTAATAATCAGTACATATATCATAAAATCATAGTTATAATTTTACTGTAAGCAATCATGTTCATCTTGAGGATACGCATTTTAACTGAATAATAACACTAAATTAACCACACTAATTTGTTTCTTTATACAGATCAAAAAACGTATTGAATTTCAACCCGTCCCGTTTTATCATTTGGGTACGGAACCCTAAAAAAAGAAAGACGTTTGTATGCATAACGAGTGCGCTCCCATTCGCAGATCGGGCGACGGCCGCGCGATGTTCTCCATTGCAAAGTTCGCGAGCAAATACAACCTAGGCACGCCCATCGCCGGCAACTTCTACCAGGCGCAGTACGACGACTACGTGCCAATCCTCTACAAACAGCTCGGCAACTGATTCTGTGCACCAAGCAAACGGACCGGCACAGACCGAATAAACTCTACACGGAACATACCAGCGCGTTCTTCGATAATTCATTACGTTACTGAATAAGTTTTGGTCACAAAAATTTCACCGAGTTCATGAGTGGCGTGTCATTGGTTTTTTTTTTTTTTATCTCGCCCAATCACTCAAGTTTTCAACTCCATCGCTCACACACTATCAAAGAACCGTTGGCGATGTTTTTACTTGTGTACGAAATTTTTATCAGAAATTGTTTATGATGTAGTCGTTCAGTTAATCGTAGATTAATCGTAAAATGAAAACTGCATTCCTTTTGTAAGAACTGATGCTATCAATGATTTAGAGATCCAGTATAACCGGACATTAGCTTGTAAGCGAAATTGATTACAAATCCCAAATATATTTTGTCCATTATATTAATTGTTTCATTTGCCTTTTCCTAGTTTTGTCATGAAAAAAAAAAAACAACGCAACTGGCATTTTTATCAAAACGCTATAAATCTGTTATTTCTTATTTTGATAAAAAAGAATTCTGAAACCTTAATTAAGTCTTTGCTATGTTAACCTTTTTTCTTCCTTAGCTGTAATTTAATCGACGAATTAAATGTTTTTAATAATATTACAATTTTGCATTAAAAATCGTTACCTGCCAACATAAGTAAAACGTTTGTCTCGCAGGGAATCAAGCCCTTAGCGACCTTGGACCATGATGGACCACGAAACTGCCCTCCCTGCCAGTTATGGATCACGCCGGATTCCTTGTATCGCCCATGTCTAGGGTCTAGGTGACATTTCCCTATCCCGCAACCCGCCCCTGGGGACGCGTCTGGTAACTAGGGATGTCGAAAGTGAAGAAATATATCGATATATCGACGTTTACAAAAATATCAATATCGGCATCCGATATATCTAAGAGAAAATATGTATACATGGAGGCTTTTTTAAGTGTATCCATTTTTTTTTTAATTTCACACAAGAGGTTTGGCACCTTTAGAAAAGCCACTCTGTCTATATCGGACGTAGTTCTAAAAACTCTTTTGACCAAAACAAAAAAATGGGTCAATTATTAAATATTTGATACCCACGAACAGTGTGCCGGCAATAAACGTAGTGATTACATTCTCTTTGGTGTGCCGGATTCGAATTTGAAAAAATATCGTATTTGATACGATTTTCGATTTTGAATATTTTGTATCGATGTATCGGCTGAAAATATCGATATATATAATCAAAAATATCGATATTCCTCGTCCACATTGTCAGGTTTTTTTAGGTGCCCGGAGTAAGTTGGTCAATATCCGAAACGAATTTAAATATCTTAATAGCAAGAGTCAAATTTTCCGAGCTTGTTGTTTCCCGTCTAAGGCTTAGATCATGTAAAATAGTAGCCAAACACCATTCATTGCTCACTTACTGCACTGATACCTAATCATGTAGAGATTTACGTTATTTTTACCAATCAAAGTTACACTGAGAATTTGGAAGTTTCTTTACATTATCGGGAGAATGGGGACGTTTTCGAAAGATAGCCTGTCTCTCGGGAGGTGGACAGGGTTATGTGGTGTTCTTCTCACTAAAAGCCTCTTGGTGGTCTACCAAGGCGTACAGGGAGGGGCTACGTGATATCCTTTGAAACGCACCGGTGTCCCTTAGTACTTACTGCGCACGAATGAGCACGCTTCTATAAAAGGTAAACTGTACCCAATTCCCTTTTTTACGATGATCCATAAAGGATTCTTCCTTCCTTCTTCTTGCCACTGGATCGGATTGTAGAAGTATGTGTGAGTCCCGGTTAGTTCACCCATGGAGTTTGAGTAACCAAAGTGCCTCCGTCGTTATTATCCCTTAGCCCACTCGATCTTTCACCGTCGGCAACTTTGAGAGCGTCATCTGCACAGTGAACTGATACACCAACAGGGAGAACAATTTGCATTGCCACGTCAAAAGCGTGGTTCCAAATAAAGGTCCTAATACCGGTCTTTGTGGAAGCCCGCAGTTCACTTGCCGCAGATAGATTGACGCGTCCAGACCCATGTGCTACATACACCTGTCGTGCAAATACGCTCTGACGGTGCGTTCATAATTTATAACTTTTTTTACTGTGGTAGGGCCACGCAGCAGCCTCGGCTGTTGCACGAATGGGCAGGCCCGTCCGGGTAAGTACCACGACCTCACAGAAGACCGGCGTCAAGTGGAAGTATAATATTTTCGCGTTTCGTCTGGTGAGTGAGGTGGCCGGAGCCAAATATTTAAAAGGTCAACGCATCTGCAACCATCGGGTGTTGCAGATGTCCATGGCGGCGGTATTCATTTAACATCAGGTGAACCGCCTGTCGTTTGGCAACTTTTCGTATAAAAAAAATAATTTATAAAGAAAAAAAAAAGGGTGCGTGTACTTATATACGCGCGTGGGAAGTTATAAGTCTTTGGCATCATTAAAAAAACAGTTTTAAATAGCATGCAAAGAATTAATTACAATACAATAATAAAAAGACTGGATAAATAATAAAAATAATAAAAGTATGAAAGCGCCATCTACATTCTTTATTGAGAACTGTAACGGGCGAATGTGGTTGAGAATATGCTGCCATCTATAATAAGCGGTTTAGCGGGCAGCTTTAAAAATGTTACTTTTGTGTTACAATGATGCGCGAGCATCCTAAAATCTCACTCATCATTTTTCATAACGCGCCTAAAGAAATATAACTTCAAAAAACTAAAAATTAATCCTCCGCGCAACCGGTGTGCAGTGATATCATCGCAACGTCGACCTGCACAGTGACTGCAGACTCGACGATTCGCGAACATTTTAAAGATCTCACCAAACGGTTCTTCGACAGAGCTGAACATCATCCCAACCCTCTGGTGGTAAGCGCAGCAAATTACCAATCATACACAAACGCGAAGATCCGGTTGCATGATGATGATGATTGTTTGAGTAAGTTTTTATCGATTTTAATTTAAACTGCGTTCTCCACTTGCAACAGAATTAAATATAATGCAAACTGTGTAAACAGTTTGCAATAAATTAAATTCGTGGATGGAATAAATTAAATAAGACTATTATCTTACTGTCGTTTTTTTACATTTATTATTTACCTTAACACACTAAAAAACAAATATCATTAAAAACTACATACATGGATATTTACTGCACTTGTCTATAATAGGGTTCCGCAAACTCCCACGCATCACTCACAGCATCTATCAGATGTTCCAGTTATAATAATAATATAATATTAATAAAATATTTTATATATGCAATATATTTCTATATCTTTATTTTTATTTTTATTTATAAACCCAACCAGACGAGAAAACAAATGAATATCCCCCCATAAAATATCTTTATTCACATAGACGCTTGCGCGTTCTTATGAAACGCCAAAATTTTACAAGAAATTAACACGTTCGTAAGTTACCACCGGCTCGGAAAGCAGTTTCTGTTGAGAAGAAACCGGCAAGAAACTCAACAGTTGCTCTTTTAAAAAAAATCAGTTTACAATATAATAGAACATGTACAATAGTCTTGTTTTAACCTACGTGAGTATCAACAGTATTAACCCCACACATTGGCGTCGTCAAGATATTCGGCAATAGAATAATAGGCTTTAGCCATAAGTTTACTTTTAATTTTTCGTTTAAATTCATCAAGTGGCAGACTTAATATCGACTGTGGGATTTTATTATACATGCGCACACCTTGCCCCATGAACGACCTGTTTACTTTTTGTAAACGAAACAATGGCGTAGTTAGTTTGTCCTTATTTCTAGTATTTAGTTTATGTCTGTCACTATTCTTTAGATAACTATAAATATTATTTTTAACATAAAAAATATTACAATAAATATATTGAGACCCAACAGTGAGTATATTAATCTCTTTAAAAAGGTCTCTGAGTGTATTCCGGGCTCCGATGTTATAGATTGCTCGGACAGCTCTTTTTTGAAGAATAAATATAGAATTTATATCAGATGCACTACCCCACAACAAAATGCCGTAAGACAAGATGCTGTGGAAATAACTGTAATAAACAAGTCTGGCAGTGTCGATGTCTGATAGCTGCCTAACCTTCCTAATTGCAAAAACAGCGGAGCTTAACCTGTTCGCAAGAGATGATAGATGGGGACTCCATTGGAGCTTTGAATCCACTGTAATTCTCAAGAATACAGCGGACTCAACAGGATTAAGGGTTACGCTATTTAATGTTAAGCTAAAACTTCGCCTTCTTACGCTGGGAAGGGTAAAAAGAAGGCATTTAGTTTTTTTTAGCATTTAACACCATATTATTAACGGTAGACCAGTGGAGGATACGCGAAAGTGCACTATTCACGTCGTCATAATCCGACACGTTTCGGTCAACCTTAAAAATTAGCGATGTGTCGTCAGCAAATAGTACAACATCACATAACTCACTGGCATAAAAGGGGAGATCATTTATATACACTAAGAATAATAGTGGACCCAAGATTGATCTTTGTGGGACACCCATTTTCATGGGGGACCCTGTGGAATTTACATCATTTATAGATACTTTTTGAATTCTATTATTAAGGTAAGAGGCAATGAGATTGAGGGCGATGTCACGAATGCCATAATAATCTAACCTTTGAAGGAGGGTTTCGTGGTCTACACAGTCGAAAGCCTTTGAAAGGTCGCAAAAGACACCTATTGCATCTTGTGACCTTTCCCAGGCGTTATAAATATGCTTGACAAGTGCGACACCCGCATCCGTTGTCGATCTGCCTTTAGTGAATCCATATTGCTCATTGTGGAAAATTTTGTTCATATTAAAATGTACTAAGGGTTGATTTAAAATTAGTTTTTCAAAAATTTTACTCAGAGATGGCAATATGGAGATAGGTCTGTAATTTCCTGGATCATTTTTATCCCCACTTTTGAAAACGGGGATTATCTTACTGAATTTCATAATATCTGGAAATATTGCAGAATCTATACATTTGTTAAAAATATTTGCCAAATATGGTGCAATATACGGCATTATTGTACTCATTAATTTTATGGACATGCCCCACAAATCTCCTGTATTTTTAAGATTAATAGAATTCAAAACTTTTATAATATCATTAGTATCTATGTGATTAAATTTAAACGTTTGTCGACACTAGGTAACATTATTTTTTAATACATTAATTGCATCAATGGGAGGGGATTTTAACGAGCATGTAACATTAATTGCAATTTCTGAAAAATAACTTTCAAAACTACTTGCAATTTCGTTATCTGAAGTTATGGGTGTATTGCCTATCACTAGCTTTATAGGTTCCCTGAATATCTTGGGTCTTCCAGATATACAGGTAATGATGTCCCATGTAGCTTTTATTTTATTATTAGAATTTAAAATCCTATTTCTTGTGTAGATAGATTTTGCATGTATACAGACTTTTTTAAATATTTTTGAAAAATTTTGTACCCATTTATGGAAATTAGGGTCGTGATTCCACTGCCTCATATTATATAATTCATACAGTGAATCCCTACTTTTATATATACCCACTGTTGCCCAGTCACTAAATTTTAATTTTGATTTTTTTAACAATTTTGCGGGGTTTTAAAAATATGATTATAGGAAGTTATGAGAAAATCAACCATTGATCTATAACAATCATTAGGGTTATTGACTCCGATATCTTTATGGAATACATGCTGTGCTACTTTATCTTTAAAAGAATTTAGTCTCCTAGCAGTGACTGGTCTACACCTGATCTTAATTTCACTTGTAGTAATGTTTTCATTTATTGAAAATTTTAAACCAAGATGATCAGAGCTCAGATAATTTATAACAGATTTGTCATATACTTCATTGTTACAGAAAACGTTATCGATACATGTGGAGGATAAGTTAGTAACACGAGTTGGTTCATAAAAAAGATTTTTAAGTTTGAATGAATTAAATAAATTTAAAAGCCGCTTACTAAGTTGTTTTACTTGTAATAAATCCACATTAAAATCTCCACAAACTATGACTGATTTACTAGTTAAACACAGTTTTTTAAGGACATGACACACTCAAACTGGTCGAAATCACCGGAGGGGGGTCGATACACGCATACTATAATATACTGTTGACTCTCAACGCAGGATAATTCTATAGAACGTTCGACAGAGAGTGCCATTATATCCTGTCGATTTTTACAGACTATATCATTTCTTACTAACACAAGAGAGCCACCGCGTATAGCATTTACTCTTACGAACGAACTTAACATTTTATAATTCTCTATATTTACAATATTACAATTCTTATGTTACCATGTCTCTGTGAAGCAGATGACATGAATATTAAATTTCCTAAGGAACAGTTCTATTTCAGGTTCTTTGCCACCCAAGCCTTGTATATTTTGATGTACAATATTTAATTTCTGTGGCCTAGGTGTTGTCTCAATGTTTAGTTTAAACTACCATTGTTTGATGACGGATTATTACATGTTAAAATATTCTTAGTTGTACTATGTACAACTGGGTTCTGTATATTGTATGCTACTACAGTAGCAATTTGTTTCTTATAATATAATGGCAAATACCAAGTATTTTTTGTCACCTTAAAACTAGATTTAATAAAATTATTCATGTCAAAATAAAAGAAAGCGTCACTATGACGGTGAGTTGTATTATATATAGTCATGTTAAGACTATATATGTATTTATTTTGTTCCTCTGTAAGGAAAATATGCATAATATAATGCAGCATTGTACTCACCAGTTAGACTTCTTAAAACACCCATTGGGGACGTTTTGAACTTCCTCGAGCCCGATTTAAACCCAATTCCGTTTCCTTATACAGAGTATAAGACAAAGTTGTCCAGCTGTCTGTCTGTCCCCATGTATGCTTAGATCTTTAAAACTACGAAATAGATCTTGATGAGTTTTTTTTACAAGACAGAGTGATTCAAGAGGAAGGTTTACATGTATAATATATTGCACCTGTGCGAAGCCGTGGCGGGTCACTAATAATATATAAAATGCCTCTCATTTTTTTTTTTAAATTTCTTCTTTATTCATTATCCCACTTTAAAGCTGAACTGAGAAATACCCAAATTGCATATTAATAAATATACAATTATTCGTAGGTGCAGTCCCAGTCAGACATTTGTAAAGACAGACTAGAAGTCTATCTTCTTTACAAATGTCTAGACTTTAACAAACATTCCAGCCGGGCGACAATTGTTATTTGAACAGATGAAGCAGATTTCTGCAAATGGCGCTGTTGCAAGTTTATAAAGCGCAGTTTCAGTGCTTTGCAGATCATTTTATTTTTCAAAATGACGTGCATTTTCGGATCTCCCATTGTATTTCTATTAGCACATTTAGGGGTCTTTGCGATATCATCTGCATCGAGTGCAGATAACATCAGCGAGTCATTTGTTAAATTTGCAGTAGTGCCCGATGTAATTCCCGTGGCACCATCCGCCCTAGCGAAGGTGAGTACTCAATAGATTTATATCAATACTAGGGGATCCAACAGATGTTGTCCTTACACGTGACTTAAATCCGACAACTTATAAATAAAAAAAAACAAATCTAACTACACTTTTGCCGCTCATACGGTAAGTGAGGTTGCAGAAGGCATCATCTCAAATCATCTAATCACCGACAATAACATGGTAGCTTAAAATAAGTATTACCCCAGGAGGGTACCAAGACAAGACCTTCCAAGAGTTCTGGAAAATCGTGTCTGTGTTAGGATAATTTTTCGCTCTCTTGGCGCGAGCTCTTAGATCGTCTTGCGTAATCTTTGGGCAAAATTTCGCTCTCTATTCCCTCTGGCTAAATCAATTATAGTAACCAAATAAAGGCAGACTTGACCACGCTTGCCGTTGATTTCTGCAATATCAGGGGACTTCACTCATTCCTAAACCTTAATCCTGCATACAGTCCTCGCACCTTGTGACTTTTTTCTGTTTCTAAAAATTAAAAACTAATTACGCGGTTTTCATGACCAGAAGAGTCTGTCAAAGAGTATGAAAAACACGTTTATGAGGTCACGACGGAGGAATGGAACAAATGTTTTCAAAATTGGTTTAACCGTATGAAAAAGTGCATTTACGCAATGGGAGAATATTTTGAGAAACAATAAATTAATTTTTGACCTTTAATAGTATTTTTTTCTTATTCATAACGGAAACTTTTAGTGCCCTCCACGTATAAAAGCAAAGGTGACATCTTTAGTTTTCAAATATTTCATTGTATGCTGTTCGTGACAGGTAGTCTGTTATCTTAAAATACTTTCAAAGTTGTTACATTTTAATGTTCAGGTAAATACGCCTTAGTCCTACATATAAACCGCGATTTTACAGTTTCACAGGCAGTTTCTTCTTCTTTAAAATGACGTGCATTTCAGGAAGTCCCATTGCTTTTGTATTAGCACATTTAGGGGTGCTTGCATTGAGTGCAGAGAATGTCAGCGAGGCATTTATTAATTTAGGCGTAGTGCCTGATGCAATTCCGGTAGCACCATCCAACCTAGCGAAGGTAATTAAGTGCTCTATAGATTATTTTATTGTGTTTGTAACATCAATAGCCGCCACTCTGGACGAGAAACATTCCAAACCAGAAGCCTATATCCGTATATTATATTATCCGCTTGAAAACTTTAAGCTGTATCTACAAAATAAATGCATTCGCAATTCGACAGGTGTTATATGGTAACAGGAAAATACGACGTTTGCTAGCTACGAGCATTACTCAATCGGTACTTGTTGTTCAGGCAGTAGTGGATCGCGGTGGCAGGGTAGTGAACCAAGTTTCGGCTTTTGCAATTTCGGAATGGGCCGGCTCAAAACCGTAGAAATCGGAGGCCCACCCTTATCCCCGACGGTAATATGGTAGCGTTGCATAAAAAAATACTCCAGATGAGGAATACCAAAGGTTCCGTAGAATACGCCGCTGGCGTCAGCTCTTGGATAATAACTCTCTATTCCCTCTCTTTAAAGCTATCGTAACAAGCATACCACGGCAACCCATAGATAAAATACTATTAGTATGCTACAACGGCAACCCAAGGTCTCCGTGGATTACTGCTACATCAGTGGTCTTCACTGTAACCTTAATACTTAGAGACGGCAACGCCGGCTTTGCATTTTCTTAACGCTAATTGTAATTGAAGGTAGCAAACGAGCTTTTTCACCGGCAATTCACTTGATGTTAAGTGATGACCTCCCCTTCCAACGGGTGTTGGAAATGTCAAAAGGTGGCAAATGCTTTGCCATTTTTTGATAAAGTGGGCCACCGCTACCTCAATCACCCCACGAAACGCAGAAGTTATAACAATTCCACGTCAATCTTCTGTGAGGTGGTGGTGCTTACCAGGACGGAACTTCCCATTTGTGCGATAGGGAATACTATTGCGTGGCCCTACCACACTACTATACAGGGAGGCTTTTCTAAGTGTACATTCATTTGAACTTATCTCAAAAAGTGCGTGATTTATGGGCAGCTCAATGATTTTGCACGCGATCATTTATAACTAACACGCACACAAGTTCGTTTCTAAAGTATACGAAGCATTTATGAATGACTACCGTGTCAACAAGTTCAACAAGTTCTGTTTTTTAGGGTATAGAATAGCAATTTTTTTGAGAAAGAAAGTTTGTTTTTATTTCAATAAACGCTTATACTACCTAGTCTGAACCTCCTGTGTGAATTTGGTCATCTTTAGAAAAGCCTACTAGGGTGGCTTTTCTAAAGGTTAATTATGGGTGTAATAACATTTTTAAATATCTCAAGAATAGTATTTGATGTAGAATCAATGCACTTACTTGAACTTCTCTGAACCACCCCAAGGTTAACTGCCAGATAAAGCTGATAGCATCGAGTCCCCCGTTATACATCTATTATGAGCATAAATAATAAATAATTAAATAAACTTGCATCTCTGAATCTCATTATAATGTAAGATCAATTCTTGTGTTACAGGTTGTTTATCCAGGAGATGTTCAAGTGTTGCTGGGCAATGAGGTTCATCCTTCCCGAATGATAATTGAACCGTGCGTTAGTTGGGACGGTGATGTGAATTCTTACTACACACTGGCAATGGTTGGTGAGTAATACTTTAGTGTCGGAGAAGATAAATCTGATAGAGAGAAGGCTAGGTCGAGACTATAGATTTCAACTTTGTACCTATCCTTACTTCGTGTGCCTATTAGTTGATTGAGGTTAAATCTATCGATTGAACTATAAAGATACAAATGCAGTAACGAAAGGTTAATCATATGGCGCCGAGTTCTCAGAGTTCGGCGAGGGATGCCATTGTTCTATTGTCGTCATTTGTCACATTAATGTGTATTAGCATTAACTTTAAAAATTCGACAATTAAAGGAAATAGACATTGTTTTTATTACATAATTACGCATTTATTTGCAAGTGGTAAGGTCACACAACAGTCTTTTCTGTTGTACGAATGGGCAGGTCCGTTCGGGCAAGTACCACGACGAAGAGTTATGCTTCTGCATTTCGTCTTGTGAGGAAGCTGGGGCCCAGTTTATTAAAAGGTGGCAACGCATCTGCACACCCACGACTGTTTGCAAATGTCAATGGGCGTTGGTTATTACTTTACATTTACATACCGCCAACTCGTTTGCCACCTTCTGACATAAAAAAGCATAAATTGTCGCGAACATTCTAGACCCCGACGCGCCTTCGCGCTCTTCGCCGCTTCTGCGGGAGTTTCTGCATTGGCTAGTTGGTAACATACCTGGCAATGACTTGAAAACAGGGGAAACTCTAGCAGCCTACGTGCCTCCCACCCCTCCGCCTGGCACCGGGTTTCATCGCTACGTATACCTCATTTACCGACAACCCGGCCGCGTTGACTTTAACACGAACCTTTTGGACTTTACGTAAGATTCTTGATATCTTAAATTATTTCGATGATCACCACACTAGTAATAAATAGACACGAAATTTATATTTCTTTAAGGGTGGGTGAACAAGGTGACACTAAAGATCACGCACAGAGTCGTTTGCAGTGGGTCTCGCTTAACTGTCATTTCATCCTCCATTCTAGTTATGTTTGTCTAGTCGTTGTTTGTCGTTTACGAATCAAGTTATGATTCGACTAGACAAACATAACTAGGATAAAAATATAATTTTCTCTAAAAAAGGATTTTATCATCATCATCATTCTCCTTTTCAATAATCAATTTATTATTATCAACATTTTCTGTTCATGTTACTGGATATGGATCTGAAATAGCAATTATCAATGATATACCCATCACACAGAACAATTAGAAATTACTTTTTTGGTAAAAGTAGTTGCTAGCAGATAGAATTCGATTTATAAGCATTTTTTATTTGCAAATTAATAATATGTTTAAAAAAAGACAACTTATTTTTTGTTCATAATTATACAGCGTGTCGTTACCATCGCGACAATAAATCAACACACGTCTAACGCTACTTGCCAATAGTCATAAAAAATATTGAGGTTAAAAAAATCCATAGGTAATTAAAAAAAATATTTAAGTAAAAAAGAAACAAAATTTGTAACATCCTATACAACTCGCGCCACAGCGTCGCATTACAAGCCTCTCCTTCTAAGTATGTTTTGTCTCATTCAAATTCATTCAACCCATTCATATGCTTTGTGACCTTTACAAATGAACTTTTCTTTGTTTTGGAAAATTTAATAACTCTGTAAATGTTTAAAGAATGTAAATGTTTAATACAATTTTAAAAAGTTATCCTCTATATGTGTGTTCATTTATTGTCGCGATGGTGAAGACACGCTATATATGAATATTTATTTCATTACAGAACAGAACAACTTCGTGTACACACTTCCATAAATGATTTCGCCAACGAATACAACCTCGGTAATCCATTATTTGGTAACTTTTGTCTAACACGGACCTTAGCTTTAAATGTAATATAATTTTTATTAGGACATGAAAATTATATTTTTGTCCCTGAAGAAACTTACAAAACTCTTACTTACAGAAGAAACTATTTTTGTAGATAAATAACTAACGCTTTTGTTTTAATATTCAAAACTGTAAACAATATATTAATCTACTCTGGTTTCCCTTCAAAACGTATAATATATTAATCTCTAAAGATCAATGTCAAGATAGCAACCGCAGTATGAATTGAGCAAACATTTTGTTGATAAACTACAAATATTATATTAATGGATAAAGTAATAAATAATGTTCTTCATCTAATCTCAAGATTTCTATTCCTCCACATAATTCTAGTTTCTTCGGTGACTCTTTCGCCGTTCAGGCTGCATTACTTTGGAACTCCTTGCCTGAATACATACGTAGTGCCCCTTGCAAGGCCTCATTCAAACGCAAAGTCTGCGAATTTTACTTAACATCTGAATGTTAAATTTCATCATTATTTCAATATCGTTTATATGTTTATATTTATGTATATATGTATATGTATGTGTATATTTGTATATATATATTTTTTGTATATGTATTTATATTTATTTAAGCGTGTGTATATTCCATACACTGTATATTTCGTTCACATTAGTAATTTACTTGTTTTTTTTTATTGCACCTACCACAAATTATTTCCACGCCCCGGGTTGACTGGGAGAGAATGCTTAAAGGCATTAAGTTCGCCCTTTGTAATCCTTGATTAAGGTAATTGCAATAAAGTATAAATAATTTAAAAAAAATGTTTTAATTTATCCTCCCTCTAACCTCGATTGGACTGAAACAATGCAAACACATTTTAAGAATTTTACAAATTATAGAATTTACAAGGCCGATTTCATCAAACAAATGATTATTATACAGATTAACAATAAACTATAAACGAGAACTTGGACAACAATTTAAAAATATTTTAAGTTTTTATAAGAAGTTGAATTTTTTTAAACTACATATTATAGTACCCCAAAAGAATTTAAATATAGAACAACCCAAGCAAGAAACATGCTTAAAGCGAAGTACTAGCAATGAAGACACGAAACAGATTCAAAGGGATATAACCCAAAGTATTTAACTATTTATTTGAGAGGAAAACAACAGCAAATATTATAGTACAAAGAAGAAAGATAGCAACAGAAAGTCAATATCAGGTCTTCACGAATGAATGATTCAAAAACAAAAAAAAAAATTAAAAAAAAAACAGTTTGTACTGAAATAACAATTTGCATGAAAACGTTAACTAGAAGATAAACAGAAATTAAAAGTTTATCAAACAGTGATAATGTATGTATTTCGATAAAAAAAAATTAGACTAAGTGAATAGATAGACTAAGTGACCTTATTGAATTAATTGTCATATTAATGCGTCTATATCGTGTTTTTCTCAATATAGGTATAGTAAGACTTGAGCTAGCTCGGCATAAAAATGTATTCTTACGATAATTTGTAAATACTACAGTTCGGTGTATTAGTGTGAATGCCTCCAAGATTTTGTGGTTACGTCAAAAATTTTTTGAGAGAATGAGGTGACCGTCTATTTTACCATTTAATACACTCAGTATAAAGATGACATCTGTTATTTACGACATGTCACTAGGGGAAGAATATGAAATTGGGTATACATTTTTAAATTGAGGGAATAGATAATAGAGTTATATTTCTAATAAAAGCGATAGAATAGATTATTTTAAATACTTCTACATATTCTCGCAACGTGAAATGAAAGTTAAAAATTATAGGTATCTCGGTTTCCAGACTTGGCTGGCGTATTCAAAAATACTGCGTACATAAGTGCAATAAAGAATTTTTTAGGTCTTGGCCTACAATTCGTTGCGCACATAACGAACCCTGGAGTCTGGCAGGCTGTGGTAATAAAAGCATCTATGTGATACTGCAAAAGTAATTTGAAGTAATGAATAACAATGTCATGGATATTATAACTATTTTGAAACATCTGATCTTTTAGAAAGTAGTCGAATACAATCACATTTGTCTTGCGGATATACGTTATAATGTAGCACATATAAGTATTAAGGGTTCACTTACTGAGTATACATATTCATTGTGGCGATTCGAGTACGACTGCAACGCTGCGGTCCTGCGTCCTTCGAGATAGGTGCCCAACACACTAGACACTTAGCTAAACGGCTTAACATCACACCAACAAAAGTCTAATGCTGCTTTTATTGCATTTAAAGAAATGCTTGGTGCCATCCTATTTAGCAAACGACCACAGTTTCATATGCCATTTTACATTGAAATATCAATTTTTATACAATTTTTTAAATCTCATTATAAGTGCAGAGAATAGAACTATAAATATTAATCTCATTTAATATTTATTTCCGGAACTGGCCACTTACATAAACAATATTTAAAATGTAATTACAAAGTTTGAAAATGGGACTCTTTGGCCGTAGAATGCAGTTTCTTTCATCAGTGCATCAGACTGTCAATTGATTTTACATAGTGGCCATTTTAAAAATTGCATGTCATTAATATGGATTTAATTGAGGAAATTTTTCGTAATATGATTTTCTTCGATTTTAATTGTAATTTGACAGTTCAGCAGAGCCTCGCTCAAACGAGTATTTAAAGGTGGTTTGCGGAATTTAAGCGCGGTTATGTCAATCTCAATGACGAATCTCGTGATGGTCTCCCGTCTACCGTTGTGAACAGCAAAAACATTAATGCTGTGCGACGTATGATCGAAACAGACAGGCTAGTCGAAGAGCTAGGATGTGATTCGGGCATCCTTAGACCCTATGTCAATGACATGAGTCAAATACAATCAATATTACATAAAAATTTGAGTGTGAGAAACCTACGCTCGCATTGGATCCAACACAATTAAACCAAGGCTCAAAAAACGGACCGCGTCACTATGTAATGCCACGCTTACCAGATTCAACGAAGAGACGTCAAATTCAAAACACGGATTTATTGCTACGATCCCAAAACAAAACAGCAATCGAGCGTATGGGTCTCAAGATAAACCGAAACCAACCAAAGGGGCGCGTGTGAAAAGTGCATGTAAGCGGATTGCTACTTTAATTAGTAAAACTGGACATATGGCTACTGTTAGTTTAGAGAATCTTCGTACCGTGAATAATGACCATTTGTTTGCCGGAAGTTTTTGACGAACTGCGTAAAAATAACCGTAAACGCCTTATCATCTTGCACCTCGTCAATGTTAGTTCCCACACGGCCAGACAAAGAAACTAATTTTTAAAGGTGAAAAACGTAGAACTTATGAGCTATCCTGCATACAATACCGTCCTGGCACTTGTTTGTGACTTATGACTTTTTTCTGTTCCCAAAAATTAAGAAACAATTACGCGGTCAACGATTTTCATCACCAAAAGAGCTGTCAAAGAACTATGAAAAACACGTTTATGAGGTCACCACGGAGGAATGGCTCAAATGTTTTCAAAATAGGTTTATTAAAATTTAATTAATTAATTATTATTATTTTAACCATATGAAAAAGTGCATTTACGCAAAGGGAGAATATCTTGAGAAACAATAAATTCATTTTTGAACTTTTATAGTATTTTTTTCTTATTCATAACGGAAACTTTTAGTGTGCCCCACGTATAAATAACAAAGGTGACATATTTAGTTTTCAAATATTTCATTGTATGCTGTTCGTGACAGGTAGACTGTTATCTTAAAATACTTTCAAACTCGTTACAATTAAATGTTCAGATAAATACGCCTCACTCCTACATATAAACCGCGGTTTTACAGTTTCACAGGCAGTTTCTAATTCTTTAAAATGGCGTGCATTTCAAGACGTTCCATTTTTTTTGTATTGGCACATTTAGGGGTGCTTGCATTGAGTGCAGAGAACGTCAGCGAGGCATTTATTAATTTTGGCGTAGTGCCTGATGCAATTCTCGTAGCACCATCTGATCTAGCAAAGGTAACTAAATAATCTATAGAATATTGTATTGTGTATTGTAACATCAATAGCTGTCAACCAACATTCCGAACCAGAAGCCTATATCCGTGTGTATTATCCGTCTACATAGCTTAAAAACTTTAGAGTGTATCTACAAAACAAACGCATTCGCAACTCGACCGGTGTTACACAGAATCAGGGAAATATGTTCTGCCTTAACGTCGTTTGTCAGCAACGAACATCACTCAATCGGTATCACTTGTTGTTCAGTCAGTAGTGGAACGCGATGGTAGGATAGTGAGATAAGTTTTGGCTTCTGCTGTTCCTGAACGTGCTGTTCAAAACCGTAGAAACCTAATCCTCGACGGAAATATGGTAGAGTTGTTTAAATAATACTCCAGGAGGGGAGCGCTAGCAGATCTAGTCCACAGGTGTCAGCTCTTGGATAATCCCTTGACTTCTGGGCGCGAGCCCTCAATCATCCCCGCGGATTCTCAGCACAATACTTTGCTCTCCATTCCTTCTGTTTAAGATTATCGTAACAAGCACACCACGGAAACCCCTACTAAGCTGTCCGTGGATTACTGTAACACCAGGGGACTTCACTGCAACCTTAATGCTGTCCACCGCCACCTAGAGACGGCAAGGCCGAATTTGTATTCTCTTAACGTAACTCAATTGCATGAATTACTAGCATTCTCATTCACCCTGTTTATTTCTATTTACTTTCATATTATCAAAATTCATTGCTTTCTGGATAAAAGTACCTAATATATAATATAGATAAAAGTAAGTAGGTATAAATAACGGGAAGCAAGTAACTGTGGAATATTTTTAATTGAACAATTAATTGCTCCTTATATGCTATCTTAGAATCGACAATTGCTTCACGTCTATAACTATTAGTTAATTTATAATAAAAAAAAATCTATTTCAGAAAATTAAATTTGGCTATAAAACTTAAAACATCTATGAAATTATAAGAAGTTAGGAAAAGATCTATAACTTTCTTTTCGCTTAAATAATTGCTCTCAATTTGCTCTATTAATAACAAAACAGAAATGTTCTATTTTTGCAATATTTATAATTATAATAAAAAAAAAGTTTGCATTAATTGTCGCATCGTGACGTAATCGGTGGTTGTTGAAATGTGATTTTGGTGTCAAATAGTTTATTCGAAATTGTGAATGGACTATCTTGCAAATCTGACGCCCGGTTTCTGAAACACATCGTAGCATCGTAGCATCGAGCATCGTAGAAGTCAACTAATCAGCTGTCAAATGGATTTTCTAATGTTGGTTGAGTTGCAATAAGGATTTTTAAACTCTCTGAATTGATCAGAATGGTCTTCTTAATGATCAGAATGATCAATTCAAAGAGTTTAACAATCCTTTTGGCAACTCAAATAACATTTGAAAAACCATTTGAAATCTGAATTTTAATCTCTGATCTGATAGGATGATCAGTGTTTCAGAAACTGGGCGTGAGTGTCATTATAACGTGTGATCATTTCATTTTCAATAGGTTGTTTATCCAGGAGACGTTCAAGTGTCGCTGGGCAATGAAGTTTCTCCATCACGAACGATAATTAGACCGCGCGTTGACTGGGACGGCGACATGAATTCTTTTTACACACTGGTAATGATAGGTGAGTTATATCTTAGTGTGGGAGAACATAAATCTGACATCGAGAAGGTTAGGTCGAGATTTTAGATTTCAACTTTGTACCTACCTTTAATTCGTACGCCCATCTATTTTATTTAAGTTTATAGATTACATAGTTTTAAGATACATTTCATAAATCTATCGATTGAATTATAAAGAAACACATGCTTTAACGAAACTTTAACTATATTAATAGTTGTTGGTGAGCAACTACACAGTTACGCGTTAATTGTCACCAATATAAATCTTAATTTTAGAGATCGACCTGCCCACTCGCGCTTTGCCCTTGCTTCGGGCGTTTCTGCATTGGCTTGTTGGCAACATTCCTGGCAGTGACGTGACAAAAGGGGAAACCCTTGCAGCCTACGTGCCACCCATTCCTCCTCCCGCCACTGGCCTACATCGCTACGTATTCCTCATTTACCAACAACCCGAGCGCATCGACTTTAACATGGACCTTTTGGACTTTACGTAAGATTCTTGTATCTTAAATGATGCTTATCAATACGGGTTATATTAGCAATAATTAAACAATCAAATTATATTGCTGTTATAATGGGAAGTGAACGACGTGATTCTAAGGGTCATCTGAACAGAATAAACAGAATCGGCGACAATCTTTTCGTATTTTTTCTACTTTTAATGTTGATTCTTAAGTGCAGAGATAAGCACAAAAAATTAAATTTCTGAAAAAAGCAATGGCGACATCTCTCGTTCGAATTATCGTTGTAAAACGATATTCGAAATTGTTTGTATGCTGGAAAGGATATAGCAATGGATGCGCCAAGCATTGCTTCAAATTCTAAAAAACAATGTAGATAAAAGACGTTAAGATTTTCGACGGTGTGGCAATCAGCCGTTTAGCTTAGTGACTAAAGCGTCAGGCCGCGAATGCCGAAGACGTGGGTTCGATTCCCATAGCGGCGAAAATCTTTTCGTACTTTTTCTACAAATTTTAATATTTGAAATCAGGTTTATTTTTTACTAATAAAAATGTACATGCAACCACTAAAGCAATACTTAAGTTAATTTAGACTACTACTTACTAAGTAGTAGTCTAAATTAAAGTTGATAGCTTTCCGAGAAACTTTTACGGCCGTTTTCAATATTCTATCTACAGACACGAGTATATTTGGTTACTATAATTGACATTAGCTCTATAATACTTAGGTCAAATTTTTATCTCCAGTAACCAAATCTACAGATAGATATAATATTGAAAAAGTCCTTCAAACTGCACACTAATCAAACGTGTTTTGTTTCACACGTAATAATGAGATTAAACTGAAATTGGTATGTTTTTAATTCTTTAAAAGTAATTTTTTTATTGCGTACAGGACACGACAACTTCGAGTGAAATTTTCCCCCAACGATTTCGCCATCAAATACAACCTCGGAAATCCATTATTTGGAAACTTTTTTCTAGCAGAGATATTAAATTTAGATATAATATAATTTTCTTTGAAGAAATGTACGAAACTACGTATAGTAAAGAAACCCTTATCTTATAGATAAATTAATGTCGATTTCGCTTAAATATTTAAAACTGCGAGCAATATGTTCAATCTCCAAACAATTAATTTCAAGATAGCAACTGTCTCGATATCATTTCAGCGTTCCAATACAATAAATCCAATAAAATAAATGGAACAAAAATTGTAACTGACGTTCAAATATATCGCCAATTAAAGTAACAGAGTGTGTTTTAATAGACCCTCTCCCTGTGAACTCTTAATCAGTGGTTCCTGATTTGTTAACGGGTGGTTTAAAGTGTTTCTTGATTGTAATCAGTAATGGTAATTGATGATTTCCCATTTCGTCGAGTATTACCCAAAAATATTCACGACAATCACTACTCATCCATTAACTTAGAATTACTACGACGAAACGTATCAGAGTAATCGTATAAGAAATCTATAAGCATATTTCTAATCTTTTATAAAATAGTAATCTAATAATAAAAGGAATAATGAAATGAGTCATATGCTGAAAATTTTCTATATACAAGTATTTTTTTGGTATTTAGGAATTAAAAAGTTGTACAATACAATTCTATTCAACATCATCGACATTAACTAGTTAGAAGTACGAAACGCGTGTGCTTACGTGTATTGTTGTCACTACGGTGTCCAAAGAACAATACTTTATTGTCGACCTTGGTACCATTTATACATTCAATTATTTACCTTAACACAACACTAGCATTTAGCATTTCGTCAAAACATACACAGATGCTTCCTGCACGTGTCTACATAATATATTAGGGTTCATCGAGTATAGTTAAATAAAATGAAAAAATCCGAATCCGATTTATGCTGTAACTATCCTTGCAAACTTGTCGCCTCTGTGAAACCTCATTGTAAAGAAGTTTCGAAAACAAAAGCAAAATGTTCTTTCGAAAATTAAATCAACTTAAAAGTAATGTAAAGTAACAGCCTATATATGTCCCACAGCTGGGCAAAGGACTCCTCTGTACAGAGGGTGTTAGACCTTACGCACTAGCACACGACCCCACCCACTACGGATTGGCGGACATAACATATCTTCGAAATATTTTTTTTTACTATTTCGAAAACATGTAGCTTTCCTGACGATGTATTCCTTCAACGTTGAGCACGTGATATTAACAATTTTATTGGTGCCGGCAGCGAGGATCGAACTCAGGTTGCTCGACAGTATTTCGATTTTTTTTTCCCAAGGCTCTTTAATTAATCTATATAAGTTAAAATCAGTGTTAAATATATTTTCAATAAAATTCCTAAATTATCGCACTGATCTGAACACATTGCTTAGGCTATATTTATGGTATCCAGAATATGCCAAAATTCACCATCAGAAAAACAAGACGATAATCGATCGAAAAATATCTTCAAACTAAAAAATATATGTGTAAAAAGTGATCTATTTATATACTGATGTATATCTAAAAAAGCACAGAATCGCACTGACAGAGAGACGTTGACTTGTACAATACGATGTGAGGTGCGAAAGATCATGATCTTAGAGAATAGTGAGAAGTTGTGTGTGTTATTAGTGCTTAAGTACTTCCATAGTTGGTGGGAACTGCTAATTAAAAGTTAAATTTGAACTCGTCTCCCATGCGTGGATGAAATAAATAAGATAATTCACATATTCATGGGTGTCACCATCATTATTTGAACAGATGCGGATGATTACTGTTTACAAATGGCCCTATTTTCAGTTTAAATACAGCAGTGTTACACCTTGGCAGGTTTCTACTTTTCTAAAATGGCGTGCGTTTTGGGAAGTACCATTGTCTTTACATTAGTGCATTTAGCGGTGCTTGCATCGAGTGCAGAGAACGTCAGCGAGGCATTTATTAATTTTGCCGTAGTGCCTGATGCAATTCCCGTAACACCATCCGACCTAGCGAAGGTTAAGTACTTAATAGATTATTATATTGTATATCAATAACCGCTACTCTATACGAGCAACATCCCAAAGAATACAAGCATTTGTGTTGTTTTTGTAATACTTGCGTTAAATATTTAAAAGTGGGATCTTGTGTAAATTAGTTTATTCGTAATTGTGAGAGGATGAACTTGCATCTCCGAGTGTCATTATAATGTATAATCATTTCATGTCCGATAGGTCCTTTATGCAGGAGACGTTCAAGTGTTACTGGGGAATGAAGTTTCTCCTTCTCAAACGATAAGTATACCGAGCGTTGACTGGGATGGAGACATGAATTCTGTTTACACACTAGCAATGATCGGTGAGTAATATCTTAGTGTAGGGGAACATATACGTAGGTCGAGATTTTAGATTTCAACTTTCTACCTACGCTTAATTCATACGCCTCTCTGGCGATTTAAGTGTAATCATATGTATAAAGAATAAACTGTAATTTAACGATAATTTTTCATTTCATAAATCTATCGATTGAATTATAAAGAAACGAATGCTTTAACGAAACGTTAACTATGTAGTTACGCATTAATTTTCACCAATATAAATCTTAATTTCTAGAGATCGACTTGCCTACTCGCGCTTCGCCCCTACTTCGAGCGTTTCTGCATTGGCTAGTTGGCAACATTCCTGGCAATGAGGTGACCAAAGGGGAAACTCTTGCAGCCTACGTGCCACCCGTTCCTCCTCCCGCCACCGGCCTACATCGCTACGTATTCCTCATTTACCAACAACCCGAGCGCATCGACTTCAACTTGAACCTTTTGGACTTTACGTAAGATTTGTGTTAACTTAAATTAAGTCTATGATTACCCCATATTAGCAACAATTAGACACTAAATCTTATCCTTTAAACGAGCAATTCTTGTGTATATATATATATATATATATATATATAATTGGAATCTCGGAAACGGCTCCAGCGATTTTCATGAAATTTAGTATGTGCGTAGATTCGGGAGCGAAACATCGATCTTACTAGGTTTAATTTTTAGAAAATGTCCTTTTCCCCTGTTTTCCTTTATCCCTGTTTTCAGGGAATGAAAAATATCATTCGAATACGACGTTAAAACGTTAAAAAAATGTTATAATAGCTCGGTCAGTAATCGGGCGGCCGCTAACAAACAGCCACGAAACAGAAGGCCGTGGTTCGTATCACGATTCCAGATCATTGCTTTCTTTATCTGTTATTTTTTGTCGATTTGTTATTTTGTTTTTTTTCCCTTTTTTTAAAGTTCTTTCTTTTGTGAAAAACACCAGTTCATATTTTCTTATTATTACTTCGGTAAGATCGAAACATATTATGCATATTTCATTACTTAGTAATTTGTATTTAAATGTAATTTCCAAAATACACGATTTACCAAAAAAAAAACAAACCGAGCAAAGCTCGGTCCTCCGGGTACTTATGTTATTATGGTAAGTGAACGAGGTGACGCTAAATTTGATAGAAAAATATTTTAACGTAATTATTTACCTCATAACTTCTTCACCGGTTCCATTTGTTACTTGTTATCATTAATATCAAAATCAGAACACAAAACTTGTTTTGCCTTGAGTTCGGTTTGCCTCCCATATTACCCCATATTAATTTCATTGTTACCTGTGTTTGTACCTTCGATTCATCGAAACCTCAAAATAAAATAGAAAATATAACATATTTTTATGTAATGTGAGATATTTGAAGTCGTTTTTGTTTTTTACTAATAAAAAATGTTGCACAAGCTTTACTTACTTCTGTTAAATATTTGTACATTACCAGTAAACAGTAATAGTAATAAAATATTATATAGTAAAAAAAAGTAGTAAACAAATAGTAATACTTAGTATTAGTAGTCTAAAGTTGAAAGTTTTGAACTACATACCTATAAAATAAATATGTTTTGTTTCACACGTCATAAATAGCATTAAATTGAAGTGGGTTATTTTTGGAATGTCGGTCATTTTGGCCTTCGACAAAATAAATAGTATAAATATTCGGTACATATTTTAATACAACGTTATCTAGTCCTAAACATAGCAAAGTTTTTACTATGAGGTAACTGATAAACAAACTTAAACGTACTTTTCTTCTGTACTAAATAAATACATGTAATAGAATATACATAAATATAAATACATATAATTTGATGACTCCGTGGCACATTTGCCAAGGTATTGGCTACGGCGTCGGGGGTCGTGGGTTCGATTCCCACACGGGACAACTATTTGTGCGACCCATAGATAGTTGTTTCGAATCTGGGTGTTTGTCCATGTGGAATTTATGTTTGTAAAGCGTTCTTACAATACAGGATAATGTTATCCTAAAGTGAGGGCAGTGTTTTTAAACCATTAAAAAATATATATATATACACCCAGACACTAGAAAAACACTATGTTTATCACCCAATATTTCCCAGTAGTGGGGATCGAACCTCTGGCGCAACAGAGAGGGTCTATATCCACTACGCTATTCGGGTCGTGAAAATGTGTTATTTAAAATAAAAAATTTTAATGCATTTTTGTAACATTTATCTCATTACAGGACACGACAGCTTCGAGTGAAATTCTCTATCAATGATTTCGCCATCGAATACAACCTCGGAAATCCATTATTTGGCAACTTTTTTCAGGCACAGACCTTAGATATAATATAACCTTCATGCCTCTAGTGCTTTTTTATAGATAAATAAATGACGATTTCGCTTAAATGCTTAAAACTGAAAGCAATATATTCAATTTCTAAAAGTGCAATGTAAAGATAGTAACCGTCACAGTATCACTTGACCGGTACGGTATAAATGAATCAAGTAAAATTTTTAACTGGCGTTCAAATATATCAATGGTTAAAGTAACAATTCGTGTTTTAATGGATCCTCTCCCCATGAACTCCTAAACGATGGTTGCTGATCAATTGGTGGCTGGTTTAAAAGGTTTTTTAGTTGTTATCGGTGATGGTAATTTCAAAGTCAAAGTTAAGATTTCTTTATTCAATATAGGCTTATTTTAAGCTGTTATTGAACGTCAAAACTAAACTTCATTAAACTAGACCTGTCCATAGAAGAACCTGTATGAAACTCTGCGGTTTTGTTATCTTATATTTGTTTTGTTATCTTATCTAATATTATTTAAGTATAAAATTAGCAGCAGTCAGGACTTGCAAGTTCAGAGCAAGAGTCATTTCTACCCATCCTTGTCATTGTATTCGACATTATAATAGGCCCTTTCCATTAAGTTAAATTTTACACACTTTTTTAAACTTAGTTGTTTGTGGATGTCACCCAAAATTGGTTTAAAAATTATATAAGTTATGGGAAAATATTTAATTTTTTTTATTTTTAAGTTATAAGAGATTATGGGAAAATAATTCAAGGAAATGGTTTCGACGGCTTTCAGTCTAATCTTCCGTATTTCGAGCGTGTCACCAGAGTAATTGTAATGTGTTAATTGTATGAAGGTCACTTGCGCTAGACTACAACGCCATTCGAGGACGAAGGCGTGATGCAGGACGGCCGAGTGTTGTCGCTGGCAACACTGTATACCGGATATGACGTTATCTACTCGAGCAAAGGGACACATCGTCGCATAGAGCAGCAGTCACTTGCTTTTCGGCTGCATTCCCGTACGGTGATATAACCAATAGTTCTGCTTGTCGTTATAATAGTTGTTAATATTAGAGCTCAGAAATAGTTAAAATATTAGAATCAAAGTAATAACGTCCGAACTCTTATACGAGAATTAATATCAAGTAACACGTTTTGTTGCTATGAAAACGTTGACAAAACAAAAACATTTTGCACGGGGTCACATAAAACTTACTGTGTTCACTGTCACGTGAATTAATGCCTATTTTTTTCGAGTATATTTTTAAAATAATAATAATGAAGCTGGATCCTGTTTTCAAATAGCGCTGTTGTAAGTTTATAAACTAGCGCTTTACATTACACAACTATGAGATTTATATACTTTTCTAGATAAAATTGTAGAGCTCTTAAGCCAGTTCCCGTTACTTGGCCATAACAGTGACAAACAAATACCTGTTAAAACAGCTTTTATTGTTAAAAACTGTGTGTGTAGCTGCTGCCATAGAGTAACCTGTTTTCTATAAAGCATTTTTCGTTGGTTCCGATCTCAGGAAACATGACTAGAAATTATCATTGCTTACGTCCGTACTTCTCTTTTTTAATAAGGCTATACGATCAATGACAGAAAAAGAAAAAGCTTTTGACAGTGACAGACTGTTCTGCAACAAAACTCTTTCTAACTAAGGTAACCGTCGTAAGCATAAATTTTAAAAAGTTTGTTTAAAAAATTTTAATTCGTTTGGAACATGACTTGCTATTTAAATTTGTGCGTTTGAAATGGGTTTGTTATCTTAAGATAATTCATGACATGTTTGAATTTGTTGTTTTATTCACATTTTAAGATAAACACACCAACCATATATAAACTGCGTTTTAGTGTTTTACAGACTGCTTCTACTTTTTTAAAATGACGTGCATTTTGAGACGTGTCATTGTCTTTCTAGTAGCATATTTAGTGGTGCTTGCATTGTGTGCCGATAATGTGGCGCCCGATGCAGTTTCCGAGACATCATCCACCCAACCCCCGGTAAGTTCTCAATAGATTAATATAAACAGCCTGCTTGTCTTAGTCTACGGGCAACATACCAAATAAGACAAGAATAAGTTCGTATTCCCGCCAGATAACACTGCACCCACAGCTAGTGTAACAACAAACACAATAGTTCGCCCTCGCCTCCGAGTACGGCGAGACCAACACAACGCGTACACAAGGTACACCCGCGTTCCAGGGCGGTTCTCACCGCCCCCAGCCACCGATTAGCTAAAACACAGTCGACGGCCATCGGGGTCTCGGTCCGCACCGCAACTTCGATGGCCCTTAGATGACATGTCGTAGATAAACGCACGCATGAGCACATGCGCGGCCCTACCCACAGCGGAGGGCCCAAACCCGTGGGTTCTGGCTAGCCCACCGGTTCTGCGTCAGATGAAGCTTTAATAGTCTCGGGACTGAAAGCAAAAACATCAGTTAATACAAGATACAAGACAAGTTCGTATTATTCGTCTCAATAACTTAACATTAACTTGTAAATCAAACTCATCGGCAGCACTACCGGTGTTACATGATATGAGGGAAATATGGACTGAGCCTGCTATGTGACTATTGTAATGAGCGTACTTTACCTTTTATGTTTAACTATAATGGTTTTGCGACAATACATTGATGGCCTAAAAACCACTAATTAAATATCGTTATTTTTTTTAATTCTAAAATATGATTAAATACGCCTGAGAATATTTTAATGCAATGAACACTAAAGTTTGTGGAAAAATGGACGAAAAGTTTTCGCCGTCGTTAAGTAATAGAGATTAGTTTATTACAAAAGGTTAATATAAAATTTAAAGCCCTTTAAGGCACTTCTTTTTTTTTTGTTAAGGGAAATCGGTTCATCCTTATAAAGTAATTTCGTCCTTATGTAGTAATGGGCTATATTAAGAGAGTTTGCCCTTCCATTTGAAATTCATAGTGAAAAAGGATGAAATATTGAACCTGCAGTATTTCAGGAGACTTGCAAACTCAACACGTGGGAATCCATAAGACAAGATCAAGTCCATACCATGCATAGTCTGAAAGAATAGCTGAACGTTTTAATCAAACCTTAGAACGGCACTTAGCCAAATTAGTAGACAGCTACCAGACAATGAGACAAATATATTCAAGTGTTTATTTTGTCTTATAGAACTACTGTTAATGAAAACACCACAGTTACTTGTCCGTAAATAGTCCTTGAGGTGACTGGGATGGATTGTTTGAGTTTTTAAATTATTAATTATAGTGCAAATATATGTACTTAAGATAACTTTAAATTTTTTGTCCAATTTTTCTACAAATTTTTAATATTTCATCCTAAGTTCAGAGATTAGCACTGTAAAAAAACTAAAATTTAAATAGGCGATCATTACAAATACACAATACAAATACAAATGCAGTTACGAAACGTCGATATTATAATTAAGTGAAAATTGTCATGAATATAAATTTTAAATCCCAGATCGTGACCTGTATTCGCGCACCTTGCTTCCTGGACATCCTGCCGAACTGGTGGACAACATAGGCAACTACGTGAAAAAAGTGGTAACTGTAGCGGTCTACCTGTCACCACCTAGCTCCGGCTTACATCGCAACGTTCTATCGACTTTAACATAACCTCGATACACTTTACGTAATGTTCTTGATATTTTAAATTATGTGTACTAATGTAACCTTAACTAACTGTGATAGTACCACGCAATTGTGGAATGCCCTCGCCACTAACATTACAGCGGAACATAGATTGATTGAGAAAAAGAATTTAATTCAATTTAACCTCAAAACATTTTCTTTATTTCGAAGTTAAAGTTATTTTCCTTTATTATGTTTTTATTCTTTTAAAAAGTGAAAAATATCTGTATAGATAAAATTATGTAACATTTATTTCATTACTGGACATGACAGAATCACGTGAGAATTTTTCCATCAATAATTTCGCCATCAAACAACAACCTCTATATTCCATAAAACAAAGTCGTTACTTGGTAACTTTTGTCATGTACAGACCTTAGTTTTAATTGTAATGTAACTTTCATGTTCCGCATACACCGCAATAATTGTACGAAACTTTTACATACAGTAAGAAACCCTTATTTTGTAAATGAATAACTAACGATTTTGCTTAATTAGTTAAAACTGCGAGCAATATGTTCAAACTGTAAACGTTAAGTGTCTAAACTTTCGTATTTATAAATTAAGCAAAATTTGTTACTTTCATCCGCTGCATCATATCGCTGCATACAGAAAAAAATATGTGTTTTAATGGATCCTAACCCATAGTTCCTGATCGCTTGGCGGCTGGTTAAAATTGATTTTTGTTGTCATCGACGATTAGATGAGATTATTTCCTGTTTTTTCGAATAGTAAAGACGAGGAAGCAAAATATTCACGGCAGGAACTTATCAGCCGTCAACAGCTTGGACGAAACGTATCGGAGTCAGTATATAAGTAAACTATAAATTTATTTTTTCAAGTCAAAATGCCTTTAATTGATTGATGAAATTGCATGCTGTGGCAAGCAAAACTAAAAAAAAAATGTAAATAAATGATGACAGCCTAGAGTCGATTTCAAATTTCAAATTCATTGCAATAGTGATAGTAGATTATAAGATCGAATGTAAGGGACAATCACGATCTTATAATACCTTTGAACAAGCTTTCAAAAGTCGATCCACTTCTACCAATCTGATAAATTTTAATGAATAATATTCTTATGGATTAATTTTTGTGAGATTAGGAAAAGGAAACTGATTCTGGTTCAATTCTCTCAAAAGATCTGCAGAAACATTATCTACACTAGTTTTTGAGCAGTACTGCAATGCATCGAAAAACAGATGTTGCGAATATCGAAGATAAGAAGATAAAATACCGCCCTAATACTTGAACACCAGCAAGTATGTCACCCAAAAAAGACGAAATTTCATTAAAGCAAAAAACCTTCTGGGGCTTACAAAGATAACTTGAGAAACAATTCAATACATGACCTGACTTTTTGTAAATAACGGATAAGAAATAGTTTCTTCGCAAAAAATAGATTGCGTTGTTAAAGACCTAAAATACGCTATAGCTACATAGGTAGTATAAAACAAAGTCGACCCGCTGTCTGTCTGTCCCCATGTATCTGTGCTTAGTTCTTTAAAACTACGCAACGGATCTTGATACGTTTGTTTTTACTAGATAGAGTGATTCAATAGGAGGGTTTATATGTATAATACATTGCACCTGTGTGAAGCCAGGGCGAGTCGCTAGTACTTTTATAAAAAAAAAACTAAAAACATTGTTTCTGGCGTAAATTTATATGAAAAATACAAAGCGGACGCTACTTTACTTCGTCGGCCTCAATAAATTTACATGTTTATCTGTTTACAAAATTAGCATTAACATAATTCTATACAAAGACAGAAACTAACTTTCAGTGTTTGTATGCAAATTTTTCAAGGATTATAAAAATTATGCTACCCGCCAGTTATTAACCTGCCATTAACACAAACTAGACAATAATATTTGACTCGAAAAATTTTTGATTTCGTAGCATATATTTTTTTATTTATATTTTATTGAATATCAAAAACATAAAAATCATTTATATATTATATTATTATTATATATTAACTATTCTTTTACTTATTTGCTGACAAAGTAATTTGCATACTTAGTTGTTTTGTCATTATTCGGTTATTTTTTATTATGAAATGAAGATAATAAGAAAATTCGTAGTTTCTTTAAAATAAAAAAAAAATTATAAGGATTTTTAAACAAAATGTACATTTACCATTACATATTCGAAGTACACGTTCAGTTTTTTATTTTTATTTCGTTTAGTTTTAATTGAAGCTTTTTTATGTTTTTCTTATCAGATATATGGAGAGGTATAATACAAGAACTGAGAGATATATCATTTTTGATAAAATTTGAACAATTCAAAGTAACACCAGTTAGATTCAAGATCTACTGTTTACTGACATAACACAGAAGCTATCTATTCGTTTCAATTGTATACGAATAGATTAATTGTATACCCATTAAAATAAATCAGTTATGGTTCAATATACATTTCTGTAGCGCTTTTTACTTTATTAAAACAGAAAAGAGAATTGAAAATTATTCTCACTAAGGCCTTATATTAGTAAGTGAGCAATTACTTATAAGCAATTTTCCGTATGTTATCAGGGGTATAGTGAGAAGTTAACAACTTTAAGGAGTTCAACGTGTGAGGATCTGTTAAGCGAGAAGGGTATTTACATTTAGCATGTATTAAATACGAAAATGCTGGTTTATTATGTTAAACTAAACCATGGATGCAGTTTATCATTTCGTTTAACTCCCTTGTTGGAAACCAATTTTCAGAAAACGTGACCATTGAATGACGTTGCTCTAAGAAATATGTAGCAGTGCAAAATAATTTCGTTTTGAAATATCATTTGGTCTGTTTTAAATATCCGAGTGTCTGTAAATTATTAAGCCATTTTATAAATGTCAAGAATGATCAATGGAATTATTAAAAAGATATTCGATAAACATCACCGACCTATTTTTTTTAATCAATGATGTGAATTTCTGATCGATGCTTGGTGTTTGCAAATTCTTGTTTTTTTTTTTTTATATCAGCGTCACCTTTTCATTTCAAGGTACTTCAGAGTTTTTCTTTAATCACTTATCACAAGTGTATAAGGCGCGATGCAGAGCATAATCGTCATTTAAGTAGTCAACTGACGGGTTGACACGTTACCCACCGCACTCCCGCATCTCCGCGCTTCCCGCTTATTGTCCATTGCGTGATGAAAAATTATATAATAACAATAATAAATTAAAAGATTATTATTAGGATTATTATTATTATAAAATATTACTGTGGTCGGGTCACGAAACAATCTTCGCTGTTGCACAAATGGGCTGGTTGCTGTTGCAATAATGGGCCGGTCCGCCCGGGTAAGTACCACGACCTCATTGAAGACCACCGTCAAGTGGAGTGTTATTCTGAGTTTCGTCTGGTGAGTAAGGTTCGGTGGAAGTGGGCCTATTTCATGAAGATGGCAACGCATCTGCACTCTACGGGTGTTGCAAATGTCCATGGGCGGCGGTTTTCACTTAAAACCAGGTGAACCGAAAGTTCACTTGACAGCTTTTAACAAAAAAAAAAGAAATTATAAGAAAGGAAGTGAGGGAGAGAATGTAGGTAACGTGATAGAACGGTGATTGAAAAATGATACAACATGAGACGGGCAGCAGTTAGTGATTACGTTTCACAAACTGTTCTACTTCGTATTTACATATAAATCAAGCTTATACAAAACTAATATTAAAGTTATAACTGACCTAACTGCCGCGAGCGCCCGGTTGGTCATCCGTACTCTAGGCCATACAACAAACAGAAAGATATGTTAATTAATACACTTATTTAAAAGTATTTTTTATTAACGAAACCTATCAAAACATAATTTACATAGACCTCCAACAAACAAACTACGGATTAGTTTTGGCAACAGCCTTAAACAACAAGAAAATGTTTCGATGATCCTATAGTTTAGTGAAGACACGCCATAATGGTCAGCGTGTAATCTTTATTCATGTAAAAGAAGAACAGAGAGGAAAGGAGAAGGATTAAGAAGAAGGAATAAGAGGTTCTAAGCGCCTAAGCTCTTGTACAGCAGCGGCACATAGTCGTCGAACTGCGCGCGGTAGAAGTTGCCAGCGACCGGCGCGCCAAGGTTGTACTTCTCCGCGAACATCTTCGTCGAGAAAGCGGCGCGGCCGTCAATTGATCTGATGGAAGATAAAAAGATCATCATCAGTACGTACTATGTATACTATGTGTAGTACGAGAAAAAGAAGCAAAAGTAGTGCCGTATTAACTAGGTAGCAAGAGTGCCGCCTCGCACCAAAGGGACCCCGCATATTTAAACTCACTCATCTCTGCCCGATCCTTAATTTTTGAGTGAAACTTATCGAATAAGAATTGTGTTTGAATTATGTTTTTTACCACTTTATACGAAAGAACCCATAGCAGATCAAGGGCTGTTTGAAAGAATTCGCTACGGGCCCCGCACTTGCTTAATTCGGCAATAAAGGGAGTAAGTTGTTCGCCCAAATTGGGATAGCACGTGCCCTCAAAAATATGCACCTCGGTTGACTGACTCGCCAGACGATACGCAAATGTTGCGTTTTATCTCATTCGTACATAATAATAAGAATAACTTTATTATGTAGAAGCCTAGTCACAGTTTATTTAATTTCTTTCTGACCCCCACACTAGGAAAGGCATGTCCTATGGGGGGTTAATTTTAACGATTTCCAGGCAGTTGTGGCAATGTAGAAAATACATTTTTAACGTTTTAAGTTTTTACGTCCTAGGAACAACGCCGCGGCTGGTGACAAGAGAGCTGGTTCTATTCCCGCTCAAAGCTTAAGCATAACTTTTCAGCAAGGAAATGCAACTAGCGTTCTTGGCACCACCGTGTGGACCATGTGTAGATAATAATATGTAATTTAGATAGGTATAATGTTGTAAATGTTGGATAAATAAATTGTATATAATGTGTGATTCCGGTCATACATTTTCTTTCCATTCACGTGGTGTTTTTGTCAATTCATATGAATAAAAATTATTCAACAAACAGACAAATACGTTAATAGCATCCAATGAGAATAAAAATAAACTCACTTATTAGACAGTATCTTCTCATCGAAACTGAGTTTGCCGGGCTGTTTGTACAGGATGTATACATATCGGTGGATGCCAGTGCCCTCTGGTGGTCCGGAACCGATGTATCCCGAGAGGACCTCTCCAGCAGCTACATTGTTGCCAGGAATGTTACCAACCAGCCAGTGGTGCCATTCACGGTACACTGGCTCCGGTCCGTCGTAGTTATCCGGATCTGTAATTGTTTTTTTATCATTTAATTACAATGGTGCTTCTAGTAATTTTAAGTATCCGCATCCGGTTTAAACACGATATTTGTATTTCAAAAGCAAGCGATACGGCCTGGGTCCACGTGAGTCCCTTCGGCATATTTTTAAACAAATAAACATCTTAACGCTCCCGTGGCTATACATACTTGAGAACATCATGTATGTACGAAATAACATATACCTTTTTACAAGAAAACATACCACATCGCGGCGGGGCCGTGGTGACACGTTGGAAATACCGAGGTTCAGACTAGCTAAAACCAGGAAATCGTTTCTTGGTAGATGTATTACCTTATATAATAGAATAGGTGACATCCACAAACAATTAAGTGTAAATAATTTCAAATATTTTTTAAAAGCCATCTTAATGGAAATGGCCTATTGTAATGTCGAGGAATACATTGAGGAAAAGGATGTGTGGAAATGACTCTTGCTCTGCACTTGCAAGTCCCCTGACTCCTGTTAAATTATACTAAAGTAATTTTTGTATATAGTTAAATAATTAATTATAATTATATATAACCGCAGAGTTTCTTGCCGGTTCTTCTCTTGCAGGGCTAGTTTAGTGAACCCGTGGTGGTTTTTGACGTCCAATAAGAGCTTAAAATAAATGTTGAATAAAGAAATGTTGACTTTGACTTTGAAAAAAAAGTAGAATTGTATATGATATATCTATGTAAATGATAGAAGTCTGCCCTTGTGCGCGCAACATGGAAAAGCTACTGGATATATTTTCAATCAACTCTTCCAAATTTTATTTCTTAGACGCATGGATATCTCGCTTTTTAGAATAGACTAGCTGTGCAAGTGAAAGTCCCGTCCAAATCGGTCCAGCCGTTTCAGAGATTAGCCGGAACAAACAGACAGACAAAAATTGTAAAAAAAATATATTTTGGTTTATGTACCGTGTATACGGTGTAAAGCGGTTATTTTAATATTACAAACAGACACTCCAATTTTATTTATCTGTATAGATAATCATCTACTGCCTAATAGTACAGCGTACTACATTAAGACGACTATAATAATTTCGCATTATTGAATTGAAAATATATTATATTACGCATATTGAAATGAAAAATGACATTAGAAAAATGTTAATTCCTTCATTTGAAACGTTTTACATTTTATCGGAATTCCTTAATACGTTCATTGGTGAAATTTACATGTCTTATGATAAAATTAAGCCAAGAAATGTAAAACACATGATTACCGTTCGTAGAGGTGCTTGAATTAAATTTTAAATTGAAGTTGGTAGTCAAAATCCCCTAATTCCATTGACGTAAAATTTTTAGTAAGTATCACATCAAACAACATTGTGTTTTCACTGTCACTACATAGTATAATAAAAAGTCGCTGTCTGTCTGTCCCTATGTATGCTTAGATCTTTAAAACTACGCAACGGATCTTGACGGGGTTTTTTACTATACAGAGTGATTCAAGAGGAAGGTTTATCCTTGCACACGTGCGAAGCCGGGGCAGATCGCTAGGTATGTTATACAATCCACTTACCGGTGAAGATGAGAGTGTAGTAGGCATTTGGGTCGGCGTTGAACGTTACGGTGGGCTGGTCTTTAACTTGAGTGGGTGTTAACTCGTTGCCCAGTTTGGCTTCAGCGCCGCTTGGGTATTTCAACTGGGAGAATTTAAAAGTATAAGAATTTAAAAGAGTAACAAGGCCGTCCAAGCTGTTACACTTAAAGCCTCCTCAATTCAGTGGTAGGACTTATGCTGTGCAAAAATTGGCAGGCACGTCCGGGGAAGAACCTCACAGAAGACTGTGTAAAGTGGAAGTATTATACTTTTACCTTTCGTCTAGTGAGTCAGGTTGTCCCCGACTATTTTTTAATGGTTAGCTAGGCATCTGCAACCCCGTGTGTAGCAGATGTCCATGTTCGCTACGTAAAGAAAGAGAAAACAATTTAAGCATGCCACTGAAAATCAAGTCGAAGATCACTTCTTTCCATAGCAATGTGTTATTGTTTATCGAAGGTCATTTCTTAACCTACGACTGCTCGTGTAATTAAACACATTAAAAGTGGGTGAAATTAACTTAAAGATTTTAAGTGTTATTTTTCATCTTTATATGTTTCTTTTATGTTTCTTTTATTTAAAGTTAGTACCTATTAATATAGCTCATTGTACTGATTTCTACAGTGTAACAATGTATATATACCTTCTGTACTATGCATTCTAGGTATAATTGATGGCAGTTTGTGGTTTAGCTCAACCCCATACGATAAATGCAAACCGCACAATTTGAACCAATATGGAATGAATTAGTTGTCACTGTTCGTTCGATTTAATATTGTTTTTAGAATTTTCCGATTAGTTTCTTATCTATAAAAATTAGGCCAAAATCGATCAATTGCGAACGAAATCCGGAAATTACTATATGTCGTAAAATTTGTTTTGGAATTTACTTATCATTGTCACAAATAATGGATTGTTATTTAATCACGATTACGTGGCGACGGTTGTGTGTATTTCGAGATAAAATTAAGTATTTTCATACTCGTAATCAACCGATAGACGCTCAATAAATCAATCGAGTTTATTTCTTTTAATCATAGAAAACCTTCTTTTATTGAAGTTCGAGTAATATAAGTCAGTTTATTTTAACATTTAAATCACAAAAAATAGGTCATCGCAATTATTACATTACAGAAATCTTTGGAATTGTTGTTATTTATTTTGACGGCCTATTAAAGTGGGTGATAGTTCTTTAATATTTTTGCGTCTTCATCTATGATAGCGACGTTGCAACTTATGCAGTTGAAAGAATGAATTGGCCAACTGGTCTGGGAAAGTGCCACGACCTCCTAAAAATCTGAGTGAGGTAGCTGGGGCACACTCTTGAAGTAATGCAACCCGAGGTTGCAATCATTTAACATCAATTGCAACTCTCTCATATGGAAATGAATATTGCGCAGAAGATTTTAATAGAACAGTCCCAATAACAATCCTTACAACAAATAATGTTCAGGTTTAACTCAGACCTTGTGTCTATAAAATACATAATAAACAATACTATATTACTTCAGCGCCTGTCTAAAAAATATATCAAATATACTTTTAAAGGTTTAAAGTATTAATAGCGAAATTAAACTGTTAAATTTATTAAATATACATTGATTAAATTTCCAATTAGAAAAAGTATTATAATAAACTTCAATATGGAATATTTTAGTGTGTTCTCTACGAAGCAGTTTTCGGCTCTATGAATAAGCCAGCTAATTCCGCGTATGAGGGTGCCTTAGCAGAGTATTTATAATGGTCGAGTGAATGGACCTTGTTATTAAAAAGTTGGCAACGCAAATACAAACCCACGAGAGTAGTGAATTTTCACGGTCATCTTAATGTCGGCTCACTTTTACTCAGTAGTGATGTAACCCTATTTAAAAAAAATGAAGACTCACCCCTATTTCGGCTTTGGGCGTCGATGGGATGACATCGGGAACTATTTTGCTCGTCTCGAAAGCGTTTTCCACAGACATCTTGCTGCATTCAAATATTATGTTTTTGTTAGACGAGTTTTTTTGGAGTATAAGAGTATGTTGCAGAACTGGTTTGAAATCAAATGTTATATGTATTCGTTATTTTCTATTTATTTTTATATTAGATTTATTGATTATTACACGTTTTTATTTACTTAATCCTCGAAATTCCAAATAATCTGTCAATCTTAAGAAATAAATACAGAGTGGCGAATTAGTGCGTTTTTCTGTTGCAAACCTAATTGGCGATGCTAAAACTCAAGAGGCAATACAATTTAATAAAACCTTACATTCTTTCTCGTATCTGATTCGTTGCACGACTAGCTAACTGCAATAGTTACAAAGGCATATTATTGTATGCGGGTTTTGCCAGATTTTTTTTAATAATCATAACTAGATTGGGATTTTGAAACCTTTCGTTGTTATTAATACCAATAAAAAAACTGTTTCTATTCTTAGCCGCATCTTCGAGCAACCCTCTAAAAGTCAGATTGTTTCTGTCCTTGTTTAATTTTGAGCTGAAAATCTGGACTTTCGGCAAAAAACGATAAGTCTAGCAACGCTGTTGCACTTATTTCGGCCATTCTATATTTATTTTACAAATGTAGTATTTTAATTACGATTCGATGCTAATTGGGCGAAATTAAATGAAAACGTTGTAAATAAATATGACAGTGTAACTTAAAATTGAAAGAAAAATAATAATTAATAATTCGGAGTCTAAAATTATTCAACGATTAACAATATTCAAGATCGATGTTCTCAGATTCGTATCGTTTTATACAAACTACGATCTTACCTTGCGTTTGTCCTGCGCGACCACCAACAAGATACTGAGCGTAATAAAATTCGTAAACGATAAGGTGCGCACAGAAAAATAATATTTATCGACCGTTTAGGTTTGTCGTGGCCATTGTATAACATACACATACATACATACACATTCATACGTGGATCACTGCGGCCAGGTCGGGTCGCGCGATATCCGATAAGCGGACATTTTTCTTCACAAGAAGATTAATGTCGTAGTTAATTAATATTTAGCGTATTATTACATTTCGCGTAACAGTGCATGAGTGGGCAGGTCCGTCAGGGTTGGTACCGCGACCTCACGGAAGACCGGCGTAAAGTAGAAGTTACACTTCTGCGTTTCGTCTGGTGAGTGAGGCAGCCGGGGCCCACATTATTAAAAGGTGGCAACACATCTGCAACCGGTGTGGCAAATGTCCGGAACGGGGGCTATCATCAGGTTATCCGCCAGCTCGTTTGCCACTTTTTCACATAAAAAAACTAATAATAGGACCTAATAAGTGATTCAAACACTAATAATATTTCAGGGCCTACGTATCTATCGGAGAACAACGTTTCTTGTGGCTAGCTGGCGGTTCACTTGATGTTAAGCGATAACCGCCGCCCATGGACATTTGCAACGCACGTAGAGTTTTAAATGCGTTCCCACCTTTCAATAAAATGGGCCCGTTTACCTCACTCACCGGACGAAACGAAAAAGTTTAACGCTCCTACCTTACGCAGGTCTTCTGCCAGAACGTGGTATTTCCCCGGACGGAACTGCCCATTCGTGCAACAGCGAAGACATTTGCACGAATGTGCGTGACCCTACCACAGTTTACAAAATTTGCAACCAGTAAATCGTGGTTTCCATCCCAACTCTTATCCATTCTACATATTAATAATGCGTTGTAATATTAATCATAGATATTATGCCAATTAACAAAATTCATACTTGGCATAAAATAAATTAAGTATATGTTTCTTATCGAAACAGTGTTATATTTTGATGAAAACGAAATTGTTTAACAAACGCTTTATTAATTTTAAACATATTAAAGTCAGAAATAAACAATTAACAACATTATAAATCATAAAACATCAAAACATCAATTAAGCTATTTTTTAGTTACAAACAATATTTTATAAATTCTTAAACACTCGAATAACCTACGATATATTTAGATGTCGAAAATAATGACTTCTCCTTAATTTATTAAAAAAAAAACAATTTCATCATTTCCATCGCCGTCAGATAAATTAGTTTCGAAATGACAAATAGATCCTAGAAACATATAGTCCATGTACGTGTCAGTTAAATATTATTAAATGTGACGGTATCATGTCTACATATACGATATCTTTGATAGTTAGAAGTTAGAAGTTGCGTAACCCTGGGATCATATCACCTTAAACGTTAAACCAAGGAGTATATTCAAAACGTTTTATCGTTAATTTTGGTGAACAATTACAGTTGTCAGCTCAAAGAAACACATTTCAAGGAAACTTTAAAAGTTTGCAAAAGATTGATAAAAATGGAAGCGGATATAAAGCAGAAAAAACATTCCGTCCAAACAATGTGATAGGATCTTTGATACGGTCGACTGACACGTAACTTATACGCCAATTAATATTTAGATAATAAGTTCGCGACTAGATATACCATAGAAAATCAGAGATAATAATCATTAAATATCTATAAATTAAAAGCAAATCAAATAAATACCGTTAAGAAATACTGTCTCTCCAGATAAACTAAATAAATATTGGGCATGGAACGTCAAAAAATTATTATTTTTGCTCATTCGATACGCTATTGTTTATGATAAATATTCACATAGAATAAATAAATAACAATATATTTTTGGTTATTATTAATTTTTTTAATTTCTATCATCACCTGAAACTGACCGACAGCAATCTATCATAGATTGGTGGCATTTCATCATAACTTTATGACATTGCGATTGACGATGCATCATATTGGCACAAGCAGAAAGTTCTCGACTGTCAGATCAGAATCAAATTAACAGAAATTTTTATCACGCAATAACGAGAAAGGCTTCTTTGTTTCATCGATTTAATTTTTCCACTGTACAAATTGCTAAAGACACTAAAAACTTATTTTACTTACTTTTGAGTTAATGTTTTCAGTGTATTCTTAAAATATTGTTTCTGTAGTTTAGATGTAGTTACCAGTTTCTTAATTAATGCCAATTAAATGAATCAAATATTCACATTAAATCGATTAACAAAGAGGATTACTCTTATAACGGTATCAAAAAGAAGAAAATAGGTAAGGAAAAATTTTGCAAGCAGTAAGATGCAGTAAGCGACGCATTACAGGGTGCATGAAAACAACAGCGACTTTTCCAATATATTGGGATAATATTAAGACAGTCGCTGTAGTGCGTTTAAATATCATGTGCATGTGCATAGAAAACAAAATATAGGTTATTATTCAGTCAAATATATCTTAATTTAATTATATCGATATTTACAAATATTATAACGGAAATAATTATATGATCACTTATAACTTTAAACATAATAAGTTCGGATTTAAAAACAAGTTTTTATAATTGATAAAATGTTTATATAACCAATATTATTTACACAGGAATCCCGGCCCATTTTTTAAACCTTATTTGATAAAAATGTTTCCATTCCGTAAACAGACTCTACATGTTTATTTAATATTTTTATTATTAATACCCAACTTTTAGATAAAATATTAAACAATTATTAATGACAAGAAACAATAGTATCACTTCTCAACAGTAGCATCACTTCCCATGAACAGTATCTCAGTAAATTAGTGTAACTACTTTCGGCGAAAAAAGAAGCTACAGAATCACTTCTCAGAAGGAACGCCCGAAGTATTCACTAAGCGCGCTTAATTTTTGGCGGAACTCAGACCACTTGGACGGTCGCGAAAGCGCTGAAGGTGACTTTCTTTGGCGGTTCAGCGCTGCAGGTCCTGACCACGGAGCGTTTCGCGCCATCCTGCGCGTTGGTCTTCAGCACCGGCTTAAGGTTAGCCACGTCGCCGTGCGACTGAGCCTTGAACCTGCCGAGCGTGTTGCTGTTCACGCTCAGATCCCTCAGTTTGTTCGTCAGCCCAGTAATCCTGTTAGATATGTTCGAGTGGTTTGTCTTCTTTGGATCGCCCCGCTTCGGCTCGGCGAGCTTCCTCGGTAACTCGAGACTCTGTAGAGACGGGTACTTCCGGTGGTCCGTGTTCAAGTGCCTCTTCAGGTCAGCGGGCCGGGGCAGCCGCGGCGCTCGTTGCACGTAGCCGTTGGGCCTGAACGGTAGGGGAGTGAGCTTCGGCTTTGGCTCGCTGAGCCGGTAGTACTGCGGCGCCGAGTCGAGCGGCTGCGGCTTCCTGAGCGTGAGGGCCATGGCCATTTTGGTGGGGCGGGCGAGGCTATCGAAGGCGGTGGTGGAGAACTGCGAGCGGCTGTTCCTCCATTCCTCCCGGTCCGACTCGTAGCCGGCGTTGACTGGAAATAGAGAAAAGCTCGTATCATACCAATCGATATAATCAAAAAGGGGACTGTTTGGGTTAAATGCATCTCCCCTACCGTTTATTATTTCCATTTAAAGTAATATAATATTATATTGTCGCATTAGACCTATGCCTTATATTAGTAATTCATAATATAGTTATGTAATGTAGTAGTAATGTAGTAGGTTCTCGAGTGGAGACCACGTGACGGCAAACGCAGCGTAGGAAGGCCTCCCACAAGGTGGACGGACGACCTAGCCAAGATCGTAGGGACGCGTTGGATGCAGGCCGCTAACGACCGGTCGAAGTGGAAGTCAATGGGGGAGGCCTATGTTCAGCAGTGGACGTCCTACGGCTGATATGATGATGAATGTAGTACCTATAGTTTAAATCATGTCAGGTTTTTGATATTTACAAAGCGGCAACGTTGGCCCTTCAGCGATTAACATCGTCATTACTATTGATATTCATTAGTTTTTTTTTAACATAAAGCCTATGAATTGCTTTTAATAACTACCCGTAGAATATCAAGGTGTTAATAAAATTCAACCACAATGGGAACCACAAATATGTATGTATAAAAATGCACTCGTGTTACATCAAATGTTATATAATAATTCTAAACACGTAAATGGTCTCGCACCCTCATGCATACAAATCACAGTAAAACGATACCTGACCACTGTTTTGACCTAGTAACTTCCAAGTATATGTGCGACGACTGCGGGAAAACGATGAATCTCCTTCACGGGATACCGTTTCTTGCTTACGTGATGATACGCGAAGGTTACGCAGTAAAAGTAAAAGCCCACAATGTCCCACTGATCTGGGCAAAAGCATCTTATACATAGATCATCCTAGACATTTATACGCGACCCTACTGTCGATTGGCGGAATTGACATGACTTTTACAGGTATTGCAGGTAATTTTTTCTCTCGTGTTTTCCTGCACCGCGGAGCACGTGATTAGTTAGCAACTTAAAATTGACAATTTTTTTTAAACATCAAAATATTTAATTCGCAATAAAGTTATTCGCAGTAGAACAAATCGATGGGGAAGAAAGATGCTCGCGTGACAGACCCGGATTGGCATCTTTAAAATAAAATTCTTTTCAATGAAAAATATTTGCATTTACTTATGTTGATATCCTTTTTACTACTATTCGGTGACAGGTCATGAAAGTGTGCGAAAATTCACAAAATGAAATTGTGATGAAAGTACCTTTTCAATAGAAATTACGCGTTTCTTTTTCGTGAAGATCCGAATCAATAGTATTCGATAAAGATCTGGTGTTTTTGCAAAGACTCGCGGTTCCAATTTGTTTTTAAAGGTTATCTAAAGTAATGGTGAGATGACTTGTACACGACCATGGCCTTATTTAAACTTTTACGTCCATCTTTGTTCTACTGCATTCATCTTCGGGGGCTTCGTTTGATGTAGTCGCTCGTTTATGTAGTCTTATAAAAAGTCATGTAGTCATCACGAGTACGTTTCAAATTAAAATATCTTTATCCAATATAGAAGCATTACACTTACTTAATCAAATCGATCGAATCGATCGTCAAATAAACACTACTACTAGTTCGGAAAAAAGCCACTGCCCTGAGAAGAACCGGCGAAAGAAACCCAGCGGGACAATTTCTTTAACAAAATATGACCAAAAAAATAACAAACGTGTACAATATATTAAATTCCACCTGAAAGGGCCTGGAGCGATCAATTCATTATTACCATTGTATTATCATTCAAACAATCACTAATACTATAACAGCCTTTAACACACAAACGTTCCTTTACAAGTTTTTTGAATTTAGCAACTTATTCATTTTGAGCGTTTTTTGGGATTTTGTTGTAAAAGCGTATACATTGTCCCATTAAAGATTACTTATTTTACGCAATCTAGATGAGGGTACAATTAATTTATGTTTGTTACTTTTGTTATATCATGCAAAGAAATGGATAATACACATTCCCTGAATCTAGGGGTAAATACTACCATCGTGATGCACCAGGAAATACTTCAACGACTGACTAGAACCTTGTACCAAATTCTGGTACTAAATGGCTTACTAACGCAACTGTTATTTTACGAAGGCTATCTACATTAAGGTTTCTTGAAGAAATTGCCTATATGTACACTACACGAGTATATACACGATGTTTACTGTACTTCCGTGTGTGCAATAAAGTACATTCTATTCTATTCTATTCTTAGGCATGTGTGCGATTGCTGAGATTGCTTCTTCATTGACTCGATGTCATCGCTTACATTTTCAGAATATAAAATCGAACATCATCCTACACTGACGTTACCTTTCATAGTATTGCACTTTAACCTTAGGCGGAACGAGGATCGTAAGCTACGTGCCTTATAATTGAGCATGTTCTTTCACAATCTAACCTTTGAACTATACGTTTAATAGTGACCTTAACTTTTATATCTACAGCTTACATAACGTTACCTAGCGATTGTTTACAATCTACCCGGGTTATCGCGTTCTTTTGTTTTTCTTAAATAAACGCTTGAGTTGATAATGATATAAAAGAGCTTGTGTATCGTTCTGTACGTTATCGGTGCTAGTTAAAAAATTCGAAATATAAAGGTACGATCGGAGAGACACTAAAATAAATAATAACACAGAGATGCAAATATATTTGTAAAAATGTATTTAGCATAATCGATTTCAAGTTTTATTGTTTTATTTACTTTATTCTTTGAAAAATTTACAACTAGCAAATAATAAATGAGTCCTCATTTTTTCTTATATTTCTAATTAAACATTTAATTGCCTATTTAAAAACTAATAGTATAATTATATTAATAGTAGCGGACCCAACAGACGTCGTCCTGTACACGCGACGTAAATCCGACAACTTACGAACCAAAAAATTAAAACAAAGAAAAAAATTGTACTGGCCCGAATTGTGAATCTAAACCATTCTCGAATCTACCTAAAGACGCACAAAAATTCATTAAAATCAGTCCAGCCGTTTAGGAAGGAATTCAGTGACATACACATGTACAGCAGAATTGTATATATAAAGATATACTTTTATAATTTGCCATTTTGTTTTTATGCCAAAATTAAATAAATAATGAGATTAAACATTAAAATTTTTCTATAAATTTTAATGTTTAATCTTAAGTGCAGAGATTAGCACTATAAAAATTTAAAATTTCTGTTAGCAATGGCGCCATCTCTCGTTCAAATGATAGTTGTAACACGATATTCGAAATTATTTGTATGCTGGTATATATATAACAATGAGTGCGCCAACCATTGTTTCATACGCTAAAAAATAATGTAGAGAAAAGTCCTTGAGATTTTCGTCGTCGTGGCAATTTAGCCGTTTAGCTTAATGACTTCAAATATTATCAGGATAATTAATGATTTAAGCAATTGCGAAGGCTGTGTATGTACATACAATAAGGTATAAATTTCTACCTATGCAATAAGGCTCCCTATATGTACACTACGTTTACTGTTTTTTCCTTTTGTGTATTTCCTTGTGTGCAATTGTCTACATGAACTTTATGTAATTGGAGTTCGTCAATAGATAATTATAGATAAGTGATAATAATATTTTATACTTCAATTGTTAAATTTTGTTTCAGTTCGCTCTTCGAATTAATTGTGATAAGTTCTTTGAGATGTTGTAAACTATCTCTTCCTCCCCTCGGAACGGTATCCTGCCTTGACGTGGCGGAGGGGCTCAGTAGCCATGCCTTGGTCCCCACGGAGAAATCAAGAGGAACCCACACTGGCCCGGTCTTTAGGGTCTGTAGGGCTGGGCCGAAAGCTCCGCTACAAGTGAGCCCACTTTGGAAGCGTGCAGGGAGTGTGCCGGGAACAGGTAGAGGGTGGTAGAGATGGAGCCACTCTCCCCGTCTTCTACAACTGCGGTGGAGTTGCGAGGTGTTGGTATTGCGTTTGACCGGTCTCCCGATCTTCCCGGGCGGGTTGCGTAGAGAAATTTCGGGTAACGCGTCCATAAGACGCCGTTTCGAATTCCGAAACGCTCAAAAGTATTTGTCAGTAAATCTACAAAATTTCACATTTTATTTTTCATCTTTAGTTAGTGAGACTAGCATTCAAAATAAAATTAATCATAAATTTTAAGAGCAGAGGCGCCTTCAGATGGCATCGGTATTGATTTAGTAAATGATACGTGTGTTAATGTTTAATATTCTGAACTGGTATTCAATATAATTATGTTAACAGTCACGTATACATAAGGTCGCGGCAGTTATCCTACAGTGCATTATATCGATACGTCGCCTCTAAGAAGGGTAATAGACGCGGGTAACCGATACTAAAGAGATTCGATCCGAGCGTGAAGGGCGGCTGCGATTCCCGCGCGGTTCCGTTTACCGATCGCTTCCTATTGCATGGACGTACGTGAACAAGTAGTCGGTGCTCCAAAGCATAATAGATCCGAGGACATAAATACAAGGTTAATGTTTTATTAGAAAACTTTTAAGGGAGATTTGTGAACAGCAGTTCCTACTGTTGCACGAATGGGCTCGTCCAGTTAAGCACGATGGCCTCACACTTTCGCGTTTCATCTCATGTCTGTGGTAACCAGGGCTAACTATTTAGGGTTCCGTACCCAAAGGGTAAAACGGGACCCTATTACTAAGACTCCGCTCTCTGTCTTTCCGTCTGTCACCAGGCTGTATCTTATGAACCGTGTTGGTTAGGCAGTTGAAATCTTCACAGATGATGTTATTCTGTGTAACAGAATAAAATAAAAAAGGTGGCCCCCATACAACAAACGAGGCGGTTGCTAGGCAATCCTTCGTGTGCGAGTCCGACTTTTTTACTGGTTGGCAACGTATTTGCAATCCTCTGGTGGTATAGATGTCCATGGCCATTAATCATTTAATGACAGGTGAACAATTTATGTTTTACCTCATGTGTACCTCATTTATGTTTTACCACATTGGTTCATTGTATAAGGTGTTCCAATGCACTTATTGATTTTAAAATTAA